ATTTGGTCAATAACAACAGCCACTGATCCTACTATTAAATTACATAATTAGTAGAATCGTTGCTGATGAAAAACGGCTTTGTTGATTGGTACTAAATTTGTAAATTATATTTCCGTTGGAATCTCATGAATACTTTAAAAAACTCGCGGTTCTCATAATCATCCTTTATTCATATCTAAGATGACCGTAGTTCTCAATTTACTTATTGCCTGAGTTGAATATGTGATAAAATAGAACGGGGTCTTACCATTTTCTTAGTACATTTCATAGTTGATCACATATTGTTGTCACAATTGTAATTTGTATTTTTTCAGTACTTCAAAAAAGCTTGACCGTAAGCATTTTTTATTACATTATGTGGATAAATTACGTACCCTATAACCTCATCCCATTGAATGTAGAGTTTCAAACCATTTATTAAATTTAAATGGGCTTCGTGCCGCTAATAATACCAAATAATCTTTCATAAAAACTCCTTGAAACTCATGGTGGACTTTCACCATCCCTTCCAATAAATTGATTCCAAATATTATTGATTATGGTGTTTTTGTTAACTTTTTTAGTTCCACACAGATCATCAAAATACAGTTAGCTTCATTTTTCAAGTTTCAAGCATTAAAGCTCGGCTCAAGAATTCCACCAAGTTCACAAGCTTATGGGTGAATCGACGTTTTTCTTAATTTATTTTGTACGTGTTTTAATCAATAGTGAAAAACCAAAAAAAAAAAAAAAATCTTGGGGAAAAGATATTGCATAGGTTCGAAATCCAAACAAACAGTACCATGACCATCGTCATCTTGACCGTATTACAAATGTCTTCAAAAAAACTCGCAAAAAATAATGGATTTAATAAAATAAAGGGCATGCTGATGATGATTGAGGATGAGGATCGATTTATGTGGGTTGGAATTGTATGTTTTTTTTAAAAAACAAAAATAAAAAATATTCATCGCAGTTTGATGGTTATCTTCTCTCTATTCAGTTTTCATTATTCAAATACGAAATGTAATAATTCATGAAGGGAAAACAAGTGGGTCCTGGAGGATGTACCTGGCTGGTTAACAATTTTTTATGTCAATTAATTATGACTTTTCGTAAACATATTAACAAAAAGTAGAAGGAGTGGTATATTTTAGGTGGTTGGATTATTTAATAAATGAAAGTGATATGATTAGGGCCACTCATCATCATTAGTTTCACCCTTATGTTTTTCCGTAAGAACAAAAGATGTAAAACAAAAAGAAATTATTCCCATAGTCATGACTCGACAAATTTGTCCTTTATTCCCTCAAGTTTTATTAGTTTCCCCAATGATAATCCCGGTCCGAAATGACTGTTATGCGTGTCTAATAGTGTTGCAACATAAAAATTTTAAAGTTTCAGAAATCCATCGAAAATAGTCATTTGTAAGGATGAAATGTAACAATAATAGGGAAGAGTTAATTGTTATTATTTGTTTTAGTCCTCAATATAATATAGGTGTCTACAATCTGGAACATCGCACGATACAGATACAATAATATTATTGTTACGCATAAAATAAAAGATTATAATGCATTAAGATCGTATAAATTTTACTTAAAAAATTTGTAACGTCTCACCTTACATAAACACAAATGCCGATTTAATTTGAAGATTGACACTAGATGACATTGGGGGAGTGGAATTAAATAATTAATCGAGAAGGAATTGAATTGCATACCTTGATGAAAAATGAGTTTGACAATGAAAAACCTTGATGAATTTAGAACAGACTCTGGATCCAAAATGAGCTGTCCAAATGACTGATAGAGAATTAGATGCTGCCATGTGTTTTTAAATATATATCTATCTGTATTCTGTACATACATATATAATCTGCAATCTGCAGTGTATATCTATGTTTGAAGAGATGGTAGTTGTTTTTAACCAGGGAAAAAAAATACTATTATTATTATTATTTTTTTTAAAAAAAAAAGATGGACACCTGCCTAATTTCCGCTGTCTTAATGTGCCATTGCCTGGACTTTGAACATCAAAACTTAATTCATCATCCATCATAAGAACATCCACTCGCACCCCATATTTTATAAGGTCAAAATCATCCAAACTAATCCCAAATCCTAATCCTAAACAACCCAACCCACAAACACATGATGATCACCACATCCTCGTCACTTTGTGCACAAATAATAGCATACTATTGAAGAAGCAAGGAACGAATGATTTGTTTCACTTTTTGCGTACCAATATTTTCATATATAAATTCATAATTACTGAAACGATATAACTTCACTCAAGCTCTATGCAATTATGCATGTTTTCATAAATCTAATCATATTTAGAAGAATGGTAAACCAACTATCCATCTTGAATTGGATAGACAGAACAAGTCCCTTTTGTATTTGGCCTTATAAAAAAAAATGGGAGGATATTTGAAGCCACTAAATTTAGTTCTTTCAGCCACTAGTTTTCAATTTGGATTATTTTTCCCTTGCCATTTAACCAAACCAAATTGAAGGAAAAAGAGAGGGGGAAGAGAGAATAAGTCACTAGGACCGAACCAGGCAAGTCATGCGATCCGATTCACGTGAGAACAGACAAATTATTAATTTTTATTTTAATACTGGTTTATTCGCAGTATCGCTGCATGTTGAATACTTCGTACTTTAAATATTATTAACAAACCTAAACAAGTTAGTTTTTTCCTGAAAATAAATTTAAGATTATTTGTTAAGTTAATTTTTTTAAATTGATGTTAAAATATAAAATTTTGGTTCAATTATTATTTTTTAAGATAATTTTTAGTTAAAATAATAATTATACACTTAACTAATAAAAATTTAATGACATAAAAATTAGATTAACTAATTATAAAAAAATTAATAAAATAACAAAAAAATTAAAAATTTTAATAATTATACATTTAACTAATAAAAATTTAATGACATAGAAACTAGATTAACTAATTAAAAAAATTAAAAAAATAAAAAATTAAAAAATAATAATTATACATTTAACTAATAAAAATTTAAACAATAAAAAAAATTAAAAATTAAAAAATAATAATTATACATTTGACTAATAAAAATCTAATGACATAAAAACTAGATTAACTAATTAAAAAATTAAAAATAAAAAAAAATTAATGACATAAAAATTAATTAACTAATTAAAAAAATTTAAAAAATTAAAAAAATAGGTCTGACCAGACCGATTTTCAAGACCGGACCATACCGTGCAAGTCATCCGTCCTCGGGCAAAGGAGGACGGGCAATACACCCGTCCCGGTTGAAAGGGGAACGCGCAATACACCCGTCCCGGGTTTAAGGCGGACGGGCAGTTCACCCGATGCACCCGTTCGGGCAAACAAGAGAACGGCCGGTCCACCCGTCCCGGACTAACTCGAGACGGGTTCCTCGACGGCCGGCCGGTTTTTTAATTTTTTTTTTTAGTTTTCAAATTTTTTTTTAGTTTTTTCTCTAGTCAAGTTACTTGGTTTGGAAAAATGACATGAGTAAAATGGTCAAAATTAGAAATTTGTGGCTAAAAGAACTAAAGTTGGTAGCTTGTGTTTGTTTGGACGTACACTTAGTTTTCATTTTTGACTTAAAAGTGAAAAGTGTTTTAAGTGGAAAACGTAATGGAAATGAAAAAGTTGTTTGGATGGTATTTTTAGCAAAAACTTGTTTTTCTCTTCAAATACCAAGTACGAAAAATATCACTAAACAATGAAAAAGTATCAATTTTAGTCATTGTAAAAAAAGAGTTTCAAAAATGGTCACTAAACAATGATAAAAAATGTGCAAAGTTTTAGATTCAGTCACCAAACTAATTTTTAGTTCTAAAAATGGTCACTATACTAATTTTTGTTCCGAAAAATGGTCATTACAATAACAAATGTTGCAAGTTTGATTTTAAAATGTAAATCAGAAAGTTGTTTGGACGTCAGTTTATCTAGCATTGGATTTTGTATTTAAGAGGTAAAATGAATTGAAAATGGAAATTAAATGGACGTTCAAACAAGCACTAACACCCCAAAAAAACCCCTAAAATGGTGCAATACTTGGGAATACTTTTATACGACATGTATATAAAAAATATTGGGAAAAAAGAACCCTCAAGGTGAGAGGGAAGAAAAAAAACTTTAAAAAAGTAAAAGCGAATTTGAAGAAATGAACATGCCTATAATTTGACAATCCCGAAGTCCTATTCGCCAGAGTCCACTCCCAAACAAAAGATAAACTAGCTCTATACTCTCCCTTGTGTTTGTACTTTCTCTATTCTCTCTATATCTTTCTTTCATCGTGTGTGTGTGTGTTTGTGTAAGTGTGTGAGTTCACACGTGGTGTCTGAAACAAGATAATGAAAAAAGAAGAAAAGTTAGAAAAAGCAGTACTGTTTTCTAGTGCAGTAACATTCATTTTTGGACACTGTTCACAGTTGCTTTTAATCTGAACAGAGTGAATGCGTATGCAGCCAGAGATGGAAGAAAAAAAAGTGTTCTCAGGAGTATTATGCAAAACTGCAAAACAAGCAAAAAAAAAAAAAAAAAAAAAAAGGACTACACTACTGATGTTTTGCATTATCTTGGATACCATTAGTTACCCACTGCAGAATGCCCTGCCAGAGATAACATTTGAATTTCAATGATGACAGACCATCAGCAACTCCCCTTCAGTCCTTTGACCCAATAATTCTCCCCTCCAACATATTTATTTTAGAAGACCAGATTGAATGAAAATTCTAAAAGTTTGTTCATTCATTCAGTGGTAGTATAATTTGTAGTGGTGGATCATGCATTAAATCAGATGCTACCAAGGAATTGAATGGTGATCAATCACGCTTATATAGCTCAGACCGTTCCGACAACTATTCGTTTTTAAGGTTTCAGTATATACAATGAGATTATGCGTGTATCTTGCCAGTGTGTGAACTGATTTTACCGCCATCAATTCTGCTGTTGTTTTCCTCTTTGTTTTTTTTTTGGGACTAAAAAAAAAAAAAAACTGGAATAAAAGGAGGAAGAAGTAGACAAGAGTCAATGAGATAGAGAGAGGGCCACCAAAAACCCAAAAGAGAAAACAACTCCTCTTTCAGTCATAAGCCAGTTAGGTCCATTCTTCCTAGTTCCTTCTTCTACTACTTTCTCTCTCATCAATTCTTCTTCCCCCCCACACTCTTTCTCTCTCTTGAAAGAAAACAGCCCAAAGGAGGGGAGGGAGATGGAGATGGGGTTGAAGAAGTTGAAGGCAGTGATCATCATCCGAAAATTATCATCATCATCATCAGAAAAAGGGCAAAAAAGAAACAACCAAGAAAGAAGAAAGACCCTTGATTGAAGGTTGAACCCACTTCTTCTTCCCCACATACCCACATAAAAATATAAAAATTTCCTTATTATTTGAGAAAGACTAATAGCCCCACACACACAAAAACCCAACCCCCCAAAAAATTATGGAACTCACTGATTTGCACCAACAAAACAATAAACAAACCCCAATTTCCAATTCCAATTCCAATTCCCTCAACACCAAGAACACTACTACCAGCAGCAACAACAACAATACAACTCCAACTCCTCCTTCCACCACCACCGCCTCCACCTCCGCCGCCGCCGCCACCCCTTCACAACCTTATCACTTCTCCCCTTTCCAACTCCACCACCAGTTTCAGCAGCAGCAACACTCCGCCCTCCCGCTCCAGCACTTCCACCACCACCATCAGCAGCAGCATGGCCGCCTCGCTACCCCTTTTAGTCTTAATTCTATCTCCATCCCAGCTGGACTTGCTACAACTACTACTACAAGTGTTGCCGCCGCTGCCAACAACTCCGCTTCTATTTCTCCTTCTACCGCTGCTTCTCCTCCGTCATCCTCCACCGCCCCTCAGCCGGCTCGTCTCGTCGATGCCTCCCTCGCTATGACTACCAGATCCGCCGAAACCCTAGTTGAGCCTTCGAAGAAGCCCCAACCGCAACAGCAACCGCTACCGGCAGCCGCGGCAGCTCAACCGCCGCCGCCGAAGAGATCGACGAAAGACCGGCATACGAAAGTAGATGGAAGAGGGCGGCGTATAAGAATGCCGGCAGCTTGTGCAGCTAGGGTATTCCAATTGACGAGAGAATTAGGCCACAAGTCCGACGGCGAAACAATTGAGTGGCTTCTACAACAAGCTGAGCCAGCTATCATCGCCGCCACGGGAACCGGAACCATCCCGGCCAATTTTTCCACCTTAAATATCTCCCTCCGCAACAGCGGCTCAACTTTGTCAGCTCCGCCGTCCAAATCCGCTCCCCATTCTTTCCACAGCGCATTAGCTTTAGCCCGCCACCCCTACGATGAAAGCTTTTCCCACATGCTGGGTTTTCATCCTCAGCAACATTTGTTAGCTGCAAATCAAATAACCGAACCAATTCCGAGCCCTGGCGGAGGAGGAGGAGGAGATAGCGGCGGACAAGATTCAACCGGGAATTACTTGAGGAAAAGATATAGAGAAGATTTGTTCAAAGAAGAAGGTTCAACTGGACAAACCGGAGGCGGAGCAGGAGGAGGAGACGGGTCGGATTCAAATTCTCCGACAGCAAATAAGCAATTCAAATCCGACGGCGGCGGTGAAGGCGGCAGTAACAACAACACCGCCGCTCAAGACGTCGCCGGACCATCTTCCGGTATGATGCTGAGACACTCAAGCATGTTGCCAACAACTGCCATGTGGGCGGTGGCGCCGGCGCCAAGCAGCGGTGCGACGGCGAACACGTTCTGGATGCTTCCGGTCACTGCCGGCGGTGGAGGCGGCCAAACGTTAGCTTCCGCCGTAGCGGGGACGTCCGGAGCAGTCCAATCGGAGCAGCAGCCACAGATGTGGCCGTTTCCGAGTACGGCCGCAAATACAATGCAAGCTCCCCTGCACTTCATGTCCCGGTTCAACATTCCGGCCGGCAACCTAGAATTCCAAGGCGGACGGGGAAATCCGTTGCAATTGGGTTCAATGCTGCCGTCGCAGCATCTTGGGCTGGGAATGTCGGAATCTAACTTGGGAATGTTGGCAGCCCTTAATTCTTATTCAAGAGGCGGTTTGAATATGAATTCCGATCAGCAAAATCATTCTTCCATGGACCACAACCATCAGCATCTCCAACAGCAGCCTGAAACCACAGATAGCGGCGAAGATGGCGGTCAAAATGATTCACAATGGTAAGTTTATTTTAGTCATCATTTAATCTCTTCCATTTTTTTTTTAACATCATTTTAATGTAGTTGAATTTTGATTAATCATAAATTAAGTTGATGGTTAATGTTAATTGCAGATTTAGGAGGAGTTTGAAGGATGATGATGACTTGAGGAGGAGTTGAAGAAGAAAGTTAAAAAGATTATTAGAGAGAAAGAGGTATCTTCATCTCATGTTACTTTTGTCTGCTACTCTTAATTAGTATTTTTTTGGGGGTTGTCCTCTTCCTTTTGGTTCTTATTTTGGATATTTGGAATGGATTTGTGGTGAGGATTGGGAATGTAAATTTGTTTGGGTCCAAATGGACATTTTAGGGTACCTAGAATTTGAGGGAGAAGAGAGATTTTTGTATAGAAGGATTTTCTCGTATATTAATTGTGTGTTTAGTATAATTCTTTTATCATTACTTCTTTTGTTTTGCATGTTTATAGACGTGGAAGAAGGAAAAAAAAAAACATTTTGGGACTATTAAGAGTAATTAAACTTAAGATTGCCAATTAACTACCAAACATTATTTCTGGTAATTGTGCTAACAATGTCAGAAACAGCAGAAGTTAGAAAATGCAGACATCGGGTGCTTTGTTTTTCCCTCCCTTTTTCAAAAGATTTCTTTTTTGGCTTCTCCCTTTCTCTTGATTTGCATGGTACATTCCAACTATGTAGTAATGCCTAAGAAGATGCGAAAAAGATGTTTTCTCGTTAACTTCTTAACTTTTTTTTAAAAAAGTTACATGTATATTAATTCAAAGTATTTACATTAATTATTACATTGTAGTTTTGCGTATGTTAAATTATGTAGATCGCGGACATTATTCCTACTAACTTTAACTAAGGTACACGATTGAATAGAGAATAGAGATGGAGAAAGAAGTTTTTATACCAATTCTGGAAACACAACTTATAATTTGTTTGTTCCTTAAGCAACCATAAATAAAAGAAACCTCAATATCTCCATTGTTCCTAAAAATTAATAAAAGTATATCCTACTCATCTTCTCACATTTCGATAGTGGATCTTTTTGGTGTTTTGACAAAGTACAGTCAAACTATATATATAAAAAAAAACTCAAAATGCAGCTTCCTCGTTTTCATAATTTATTGCAGTGCACCAAAAAAACTGTACTAAATACCGTTTTTCTCCTCATTGTTTTTGTGATGTGAGTGTTCATATCTTCCTGTGGTCCTGCTACATTATAGTATTTGACTATTTCATATTCTCGCTCTCTTTTTTCTTTTTTTCAATTATTGTTGTAAAATTAAAACAAACAATGCGGTTAGCTTAGCTCTATAGCAGTTTGATGATGATGAAAAAGGTACTCCCACCATTCCAAAATAAGTGTCATTTTAGTAAAATGGAGAAATTTTAAAATAAGTGCCATTTTCGGATTTCAATGCATTTTTTGTCAAAAATTTCCAAACATACCCTCAAAAGAAATAATATTATTGGTGAATATTTATTTTAATGGAGTTAGTTGATGATATTATAGTAATTTAGCTACTCTATTTAAGTGTTTCTTAAACTGTGTGTAAACTCTAGAATGATACTTATTTTGAAATGGAGAGAGTAATGTTGAATGATGTTGCCTACCTTTTTGGCTTTGCTGCAGATTCCTTTTGTACCTTATCTTCTTCATCTACTACCTCCTTTTTTTTTAATCTTTTGTGAACTCAAAATGTTTTTTTATTTGTCGCACTTCATTTTTTAATACAATATTAAATACAATTTTTTCAATTTTATCATTTTCTCTCCCTACTTTTAATAACATATATTAATGACAATTATCTACTTTTTTAGTTCAATTTTAAATTTTTTAGAGTTCTAATATTTTTAATTAAGGGTAAGAAATACAATACCTTTATAAATTAAATTCTTAATCATTATTTTCTTAATAGTTGTACTAATTCTAGAGCAACGGATAAAAAAACGGAGGTAGTACCTGCTTAAGCAATTTACTAGTACGAGTTACTTTTGAGCCAAGAATCCAATGCCAAATTGCCAACTTCATTGTCCCTCAAATTCCCCATATGATTTCATCATTAAAACATCTAAATTTTAACAAATACCGTTTCGAGGGCTATAATTATGTCACCTCCTTTACACGTTTACGTACATTTTCATTTGCAACCAAAATCTTTTGATGTTAGTCCTAAATACGCACAATTTGACACCTCAAAAGGCGTGTTGGTGTCATTTGTCAATGTCTCAATTATAAAACGTCATTTCATTTGTAGGCTGATTGATTTTCACACTTATTATTATTAGGACAAAAACCTCAACTTCCATGCATTATTCTAGGAAAAACACATATACAAACCTAGTTATCAGAAAAGAATCCAAAACCCAAACAAATTGCGGGAACACCAAAAATAAAAAAAGAAATTTTTTTGTGGGATTTAAGGAAGAAAACATAAGCAAATTCGGACATGGTTGCCATTTGTAAATCTACTCCATCATTAAACTATCAAGAAAAGGTTAAGTTAATAATCAATCAATCAATCAAACCAAGGCCGGGGAATGACTTTTTTTGTATCGGGATTTCCCCTAAGTTCTCAGTCCGTGATTTTCGCATTAACTAAATCATTTTCTTAAGTTAGTACTACTTTTTTTTTTTCTTTTTTTTTTTTTTGGGTGGCTGTTTGATGTAAGGAAAAAAAAAAAAACTTGTCACTTGATATTATGCTTTATCAGCCTCCTAGTCATCGTGATGTTGACACGTACTCTCTGATACAACATATTCTTGTAGCTAAATAGGCCGGCCACAAATGTCAAATATTCTAATGCTTTACTTTTCTTCTTTCTTATTTTTTCCACTTTATTTCGGACAGAAAGAAAGAAAGACCCTTTTCAAAAAGCTTTTTCCCCTAGTTTTGGGAGTTAATTTCACATTCACCCTTTTAGTTTTATTTTCTTTTCTTTCTGTTATTATGTACCTAATTGGTCCAATTTAGTCGAGGTGTATAGAGGTTACTGTTTTGGGGAACGACAGCGAAGAAAGCTGATATGATGCATAAGTGGCAAAGAAGTGGTGTCACATTATCACATGGGGTTCACAGAGTTAAGATGATTATAGTATATGCTTTGAATCCTTTTGTTTATTGTTCATTCCATGGTTTCTGTTTGGTGCATTTTATGACATATATATATATATATATATATAGAGTTGTTGAAAATGGGAATGAGTCCCTTCACGTGCAGCTATATCATTTTACTCTCTGGATGGCTCCTCCCATGTCGTGATTGTAGTGCCTCTAAGGTTTATACTTTATATAACTTGTACATCTATAATAGTATGTATGTACTCCAAGGTTCTCAAAAAATAATATAAAATTGTTCTATGCTACACTTTTAGTGTCATATACGTTCGATGAAAGTCGTTTCACTAAAGTAATATAAGTCATTTTGATATGAAAATCATCGTCACAAATTACAAACACAATGCGACCGGATCACTATTAGCTGATGCAAATGACACCAGCAAACAGCCATAGTTTGGAAATAGGAATGCTATTTTATTATGAAACAGGGAGACAATTATGCTTGAGGAAGTCAAACCCAACTTGCTTTAAAGAAAGGCAAGATTGATGTATTGATTAAAGAGAGTTGCGAAAATATCTCATTTGGATATCATTTTTTATATTCTCTAAACTAAACTAAAGAAAGATCACAGACATAGAGTACAATTTAGGTGTCATTCCCATGATGACAAAAGTGATGGGAAATACTCCTATTTTCCCAAAAGAAAAGAAACCGCGTGGAGAGCAAAGGGCAACTTCCTACCTACTTTCTTTAAGCAGGAAATCACCAAACACCAAAGGACGATCTAATAATACACCATCATCTTACAACGGCACATGATTTATGGGTCCTCATCCCGACCAGGCTTTCTTTTCCAGCTCCAGAATCTTTGGAGCTAGTGGAAAACACGGCGTACAAACAACACCCAAATGTGCTCAATCTGCATTCTAGATTTCTACCAATTCGCACAATTTTCAAACAGTGTAGACTACCTAGGTCCACGTCTAAAGTAAAAAAGAAGGAAAGATCAAGTTTAGTACTCTAAATTCAACCCAGGTCATAAAGACAATGAGAAGGCATTTTCATCGTAATTTTAATATTGAGATCTTGAGTTCATAATACACTGGGAATTGAGAAATAGGCTGTAACTCGAGAAATCTCAATCTAGTTCTAAACATTTGTCTTTTTAAGTTTGATCCTTTTGGAATAAGAGGGAAAATCTGTATTTACACTTCTTTCTTTTTTACAAGGCGAGGCAAAAACTACACATCTACTTGCTTTTTGTTCATGATTTGAGTATGTACAACAATGGAAGAGCCATCTAGAATTTAGAAATCTTTTTATATGAACACCAAGAGAAGAAGCAGCGTATGATTATCATCCTGTCTTTCAGTTCATGTGAACCAGACTTGCTTCTGGCATATTTGAATCCCCAAATGCCGAATGATTTCTCCTGCTTCATTAATTTGTCACTTGTTCCTTTAGCAGGGTGTCAGAATTTGATAATGATGACCGTTTCCGGAGGTTCATGGTATATCTCATGTCCTGACAAGATATGCATTTTACTGAAAACACAAAACAAGAGGCTACCATCATAGACTGAAAGGGAATTTGAACAATTATAAGTCACTTAGCCATACCTGAAGAGATACATGTAAAAGTCAATGGTTTGTATTAATGCCTAATCTTTCAATTTCTGATGGGAGCTCACAGGGAAGAGAGACAAGACACGCAACCTAGAGAGCAACGAAGATTGGAATAAAGATTAAGACACCCACCATAAGAATGTACTATACTCTTACCAACACAGAAATTGGAAACATGCGCAAGTAACAAGTCAAACAGAGAATGTGAAAAACACATCTAAACAATACAGGCCGATTTAATGAATCATGAGACAATTGAAGTAGGAATAAAAAGTATTTCTGTATCTTATTAATTGAAATAGCGACTTAATCAGAGAAGCCTAAGCAATTATTTTACAACAATTTCCAACTAATCTTGTTGTTGACAGTCAATGTGAAATATTCAAAGTTGGTACACATGTTATGCATGTCCTTCCATTGTTCAAAAAGAAAGTAGGTTGGTGAAATACTAATCTGATACAACACAACAGAGGTAGCTCTTCTCTTTTTCCTTGTTCTACTTTACATATGTTTGAAAGAAGAAAAAACATGAAACAGTTTTGCTAAGTACATTTTTTCTTTTCTTTTTCAATTATAGTAGAAAATTGTGGGCATGTCCAAATAAGGCGGAATCAGGGAAATGCCCACATTAATTTCAGTTCATATATCAGGTTCTAAAAACCAAACCAAGCTCAATGATTATTAATCTAACTCAAACTTAAGTTACTAGTAGATCAACCTAAACCTCATTGGTTTGCTGGAACTGGTAAGTCGTTACAAAGTGTTTTATGTCAAATCCCAGCAGCACAATTAAGGGAAACACATATGCATAAGCAAACTCCTATAAAACAGATATCCAATGGAAGAAACAAAATCGAAAGAAGTAATAATGCTTACGACAAATAATCAGCCACAACAAATATGGGAAGCCTTCCCAATCCAAATCCTGTCCACTTTCTTCTTGGGAGAGTTATTATTTTGTCAGCTTCTGAGCCAGTGGCAGTAAGCACAAACTAAAACAGGCAAGACAGCACCAAATTAGATGATGATAACATCCAGAAGTATCAACATTTATAAGCAAAAAACTGTGTATCAGTCACAATGGACTAGTCCAATTATGATAAACTGTTTACAAACAAAAGCTAGGTCTTGGTGAAGCAAGAGGCATTGATATACTAAAGGGAAAAGGGATAGCTCCACAGTTTAAAACTTCTAAAATTTTAGGAACCAAACAATAAATTACTTAAAACTACTCCAATGTTCAATGTATTAACATTTTACTAGTTTATAGTGCGATAAAAGGCTTGCGTCAGCTCCTGTGGAAAAACTGTCCAGGACTGAATTCAAGATAAGACCTTCATTATAATTATAAATTGTGGTTCAAGGGATGAATGTTTAAGTGTAATTTGGCCAAAACTCAGCATTGTTTGGGGGGTATATTTCAAAACTACGACCAGCAACAATTCATTTTCATGCTATTCTTTTCTATTGTGAAATCAACAGAAAACAGGCCTGCACATGCTGAAAACATTAGGAATATTCAAGTCATCCCCAGATGACTGCAAGTATTTCTACGTCTAGTTATACTTCCATGACGTACCAGTGGATAGAGGATTGCCATAACTCCATAGCTAACCAAAGGAGAGAACAAGAATGTTGATATTACACATGGGCATCCTGAAATTTAAATGCAACAACAATTTCAATAGAAAGTCACACATGTACTTCAAATAGAAACTAACCCCCACACCAACAACGCAGAACAAAGAGAAAAAAATCAGAAGAAACAACGATAAAAAGAGAGAGAGGGCAAATAAAAGTTACCAAAACCAGCAAAGAATGCCCAGTTGGATTCAAAGAAGTCCAGCCTCTTGTCCAAACTCAATCCCGAAAGATTCCATTTGTATCTAGAACAAAAGAAATTGAGGTGACCTTTCGAACAGAAGTGGAATATGAGTATCAGCTGGTAGACACAGCACTTACTCAAAACAATAGTAAGCATACATCCATGAGAGAAGCAGAAAACTGACTGTCTTTCCAATGTAAGGGATAAATCCCGTAACATAAACCTGCATGTCATACAGGAGCAAAAATATATTTGTGTAAGAGTCATACGCATTGAAAGACAGTAAGAACACAGAGACATCTATTTCACCTGCAAGAAGAAGAAACTCAGCAGGAGAATTGAGTAGAATTGCTCTGCGATTCCTAGCATTATCCTACAAGGTAAAAAGGAAATTGAAATCCGATTCCTAGCATTAGCCCACCGAACTTCAAGAAAAGCTGTAGCCTCTGACTCAGAGATAAGACCTTTTAACAGCCACAAAATCAAATAAGACAATGTACAAATCCTACCCCTCAAGATCGCTTGGCTTGTCAGCAGAACTATTCTTTTCCGGACCTGAATGTTCATCTTTGCCGAGGGCAAAAAACCCATGTTTTGCGATATCATTATACCTGATAGAAAAATGGAGAATTTAACTGATGAGATAGCACAAAATCTCAGCCGGAATGCAATTAGTCGAATTGGTCGCAAAGGTTTAACCATACACTATTGCAGACAAACTTCTCAAAGACAATAATAAGTAAGCAATAGTTTAGATCAATACAGCAACAAGAAATATCAATATGGATAAGCTACGGAATTGCCAGGTTGTACAGATAAATTTGCGAGCTCAGTTGAATTTAATATATAACTTACCAGGTTAAATAACGCCATTATGCCAGTCTAAACAAAGTTTTACTGTCAGCAGAACTTCTGATAAGGTTTACCTTCTTCTAGATGGAAAGGAAAATTGACATTGACCTCTAGTAAGTTATTCATATAAAAGCTGATTGCACTACCAGGATGAGCACTCTGATTCCATTTTGTTTACATTAAGGTTGTCATCAGGCAAATCAATTGATGTTCTGCGTTTTAGACCAAAGCCTACTAACCATGAGTTGTACAAAATCCACATACCATACCTTTCAAAGTGTGATTTTGGGAAGATAAGAAATCTACAGATGTAGTTATAAAAGTAGTATTCCTGTGCATCCAATAACAATTTTCTTTCAACTTCCCCAACTTTTCCATCTAGATCAAGCAAATAATCTGTAACGTGTGTTATCACATGATTCAAAACATGGTTTGCAGTTTCAACCATCAACACCAAAAAGAAAGGTGCCTTACCAGGTAAGAAACGAAAGTGCTTAGTCTTATGGTTTCCAAAGACCATGACACAGGGTAAAATAAGGCAAACAGTCTGCTAACATTATAGAAGATTGTAGATAATGGAATTCAAGTCGAATTTTCAGATTCAATACTTGCAAAATTAAGATGGAGGAATAAAATAAACAAATATCTGTTTGGTGAAGGAGGGAATACCATAAAGTGCTGAGGATAAAGCTAAATATGTACATGGGGTAGAACCAAAACACCTGCAAGTGAAATTAATTATGAACTCAATCACTTTTTAGTCAAAATATAAGCATAAATACATGTAACCTTAAAGAAACTAAAGCCAATTTCATTCCAAGATACTAGTAACATGTTTTCTTTCCATCTACAGTAAAATGTCTTTCAAGAAAAAGCTCACCTAAAGCCAATTTCATTCCAAGATACTAGTAACATGTTTTCTTTCCATCTACAGTAAAATGTCTTTCAAGAAAAAGCTCCAAAAGGATATCAAGTAATCTGAAGTTCAATAAACAGTAACGTACATAGAAGAGTTGCACAAGTCCAACTCGTAAGAAGGAATAGAATCCCAATGTAAGTCCATACGGGCAAACTTCTCCTAAATGATTATCCGGACACTGTTCTGGCAGTATCCACCCCAGCATTGGAATGATCACCGATCTTAGAATAAGTATACTGCAAATCAATCAAAGTGGCACAGTCCAAGTGAATTCCAGTGCGAAACAAGACAAAACAAATAAAATTGCATCGCACAATACCTCCGTAGGTATCAAAAGCTGCAATTAACACACACATACACACACATACACAAAGCCAATAATAAGAACATGAAATTCTTGAATTGATTATTAATCGTCATACTCGATACTCAACATTCATCATCCACAAGTACAATAACATGCCTCCATTCAAGCAAGTAAACAAGTAAGAATACGCACTGATACGAACAAATTTTGTGAAATTCGAACTTCAGTTAAGCCAAAAAAAAAAAAAAAAAAAATTGTGAACTGATAAATAAGAGCAGAAGAAGATAAAAGAAGAGTAGTCATGGCGGTAAATGGAAGAAATCGTAAACCTGCCCAAAAAGATGAAGCCATTCAAGAGGAAGCACTGGCCAGTGCGGATCGCAAGCTCCTTTGACCGGCGGCAATATATCACAACACGATGAAGACAGAGGGCTTCCCGAAGACCTTCCAGCCATTGAAACGACGCTTGCTTCGATTTGGTGCGAAATTTGGCTAACAAAGGCCTCAGGTGGTCTTCCATGGGTGGAAGGAATGTCTTCTTCTTGGGGGGATATAGACCAATTTCCAAGGGTGCGTCGTACTGAATCTTTCCTCCGACAACAAAAGCAACCTCGATCCAATTATTTTATTCTTCTCGAGTAAACGTTTCCTATTCGTACTCAAACTTTGTTTTTGTTTCATTTTGATTTTGGTTTTTTATTGTTTTTTTTTTCAATCAAGATAAATAAAAAGATTTTATGATAATAAGATTGAAAAATATACCCCTATCACGACAAATAAATCAGTAATATCAATGATTGCAACAATATAGATTTAAATTGTTACTTGGGGAGTCGGGAGATTGGTTAATTGAAAACGTCTATCATCAAATAGTCAAAGATTATTACACTATCTTGTACTCCCTCCGTCCCATAATTATTGTCCAGTTTTACTAAAATGAAAAATTTTATTTTTCGTCAAACTTAACTATATTTTACCTTAAACAACCGGATATACCCCTACATAAATAATTGTTTAACCACAAAGATTTTATGGATAATGTTTTTTACTAAGAACAAATGTGTAACTTGATCCATAAAAAGTCAAATTGGACAATAATTTTGGGGCAAAATTTTTTGGGCAAAGTAGACAATAATTATGGGACGGAGGGAGTATTTTGAAACACATGTGAGAAATGCTCATTCAACAGTGAGAATGTGATAAATAACGATTTATCTGGTTCGAAGTTAAATTAATTGGAGTAATAATTTTTTAAAACCGAATACGTGATATACCAAAATAAATGTGATAAATAACGTACTCATAAAATTTGGAGTTCATTATACTGCCATTTTGTTCAATAAAAGAATTCTCTGCATAATTTGGAACTAAATTGGCGATAAATGTAGTGTAAGCTTTTCAAATTACCATTAGAAAAATGAACTTTTAGGTTATTAGTTCAAGGACCACTCTATAATAATAAATTGATAATCGTACATCAACACAGAGACAATGCCACTGTTTTAGGCTTTTTGTATCAAAAAAAATAAAATAAAAATTGAAAGAATCGCTTTAAAATTTCGTCAAGGAGAAACACCAGGAAAATGTTGTACTAATAAATTTGGAAAAATAAAACACAAGAAAATTCATAATAAATCGTCTAACCAAACAGACCACAAAGAAAGAGCCCATTTCGAAGCCTATTTAAACGAAGCTGATCATCAACTCGGCAATGGCCCAATTGACCAAATGCACGTAAGAATAACCGACATATTCAGAAGGATCAAGAAGACGAATATTTCTGCTAAATCATGTGCATTTGTTTTGAGCAGAAGTTTTCTCAAGCTCACATCAACTCTCCATTGGTAGAAAATCCCTGGATTTCGTGAGGAATTTAGAAATTAAAGACAAAAAAAAAGAGAGAAAGACGTAGCTCAGGATGCCGCAGCCCAGCAAAGAACCATGTAAGAAGCAAGCGTGTGATATCCAAGCTTGCCTTTCCAAGAACAATTTCAGCCCACAGAGGTATATGTGCTTCTTTTTGTTGTTTCCTTTTTGGGGTTTTCTTTCTTTCAATTGATGAATTTCGTGCTTTTATTGGATAATAACTGAATGTGAATTTGAACCTAATACTTTGCTTCTTGTTCTTTGTTGGATTGTTTCGAGTACCATAGTTTTAAATGTATTGATTGTAGTTATTGGAATGTCTCTCTGCTTTGATGGCCAAATTGTATAAATTCACACGATCTTGATCTGTATTGAAGGCATTGGCAATTTAGTGGAAGTTTATAGGTTATACCATGCTTGGGTTTTGGAAAATGTTGAAGTTTTTCACGTTTTTCTGGTACTTATGCAACATGGAAAGCAATCAAGAGATGTGAAATTTTCTTGGGAAAGGAAATGATGGGATGGTTTTGCTGTAGTGTAAAGTAAGGTGATGTTTGGAGAAGTTATACGGGCTATCAGGAGATTAATTTTTTTTTTTGTTTTCAATATTAATTACAGCTTCGGCATGCTTTTGATCCAAAAAACTATAACTGGCTTAGGTTCTGAAGAATTTAGGAGAAAACTATCATTTGTTTGGTTGGATAGAGAGTTCCTAATTTTTATAGCCTAGGGGATTTGTTCTTTATCACAATGATTACAAGTGCATCAAGTTGCTCTTCGTCCTTTTATTGTTAGCTGAGAAATAATGGCCAGTATCATCTTAGAATATATCTTTGCTTCTCCCTTAGGTCATTCCTGCCTACCTAACATCTATGCCTTCTCCCTAGGATTTGTGTGAAATTCTAATTGACAACCATCAAAATATCAACCCTTAACTAGTGATGGGGAATTTAAGATGCATGTTTTCTCTTTGATCATCAAACCTCTTGCTAGGAACCTTCTTAGAAGTGATTGGAACTGAAGCTGTGGGGAATGTTTGTATGGTATTTAATTTGAATGATATTTCAGTCACAGAGCCTAATTTATGAGGTGCTGAAAAGTGAAAAGTTATGTAACTGGACTGCCAGAATCTTGCATCATGCAAAGTTTCTTGGTGAATTGTTACGCACTTATAACGCGAGGTTTTTCTGTAATCAAGTAGCTTCATGTTGTATTATCGAAGCTGATTCCTTACATTGGTTATGCAGGTGTGTGAGAGTGATTGAGTTGTTACAGACATGCTGTGAACAGTGCAACTATGAATCTACGCATTGTGCTTCCGTATCTGGTCTCCTAAAGCAGATAAGCAAGAAGTAGCTTTAGGGAAAAAGATACATTAAGTAGTTTGTAAGTCTTGTTTCTCTCATCAAACACAGTGGAAGGGTATGAATCTTGTGAAACATTTTTTAGGGAGGGGTCTTTATCAAGTGCAAATGCATTTGCTTGCCCGAGGCAGAGAAGTTAGCTTAAAGCCGATGAGGAACATTTTACTAGGTTATATTTACTTGATAAAAGCCTTAAAAGACTTCTGCTTATTTGTCGAGCAGTTGAGATGATGAGAAGCTGAATGTGAACCTTTTTTTTCTCGACGAACAGAATATGAAGTACTTATTGCTTGCTAGCGTTAGTACTAATTGTATACTTGCATCTGTGGCATGATGCTTGTGTCACTATGATAGGGTTTCCTGAATGTCAGAATTTGATTTCCATGGGAATGGGGTTGTGGTTATTCAATTTCATCTCTATGCGGGGGTAAAATATATATTAATAACTAAAAAGGACCTTCAGAAGAGGAAAAACAGAAGAGAAGTAATGAGAGAGAAATATACAATGGGTGACGAACTCTTCCTTTCTTTTCATTGTATGCCAAAAAACACATGTGGTGCTTGATAAAATACAATTACAGATTCCTGTGGTCTATTCCCTGATTCTGAAGAATGGCCGCGGAAGCCCAAAAATCGGAAAAAAAATTCTCAGAAAGGACTATGTTCTCATCGACTCCTGCCGCCTAAGAGGAATGCCTTCACCAAAACCATCCTCCTCGTCAGCGTGCTTAGAGAGTCGCACGGATGCAGGTGTTGATCCTATACACCATACAAGTTAAGAGAGTTTAGCCTCAATACTATCGAAATAGATGTAAAACACACTACTCTGTTAAAGGAGGATACCGTCTGCTGCCATGTCTTTTGTTCTGTGAAGGAGAAAGGTTCCAGAAAGAATTGTAACGAATCCACACATTTCTGTCACTATTTGGGTTGGATTCTGTCTATCCCAATCCTGTTATCAACAGGAACTTGACGATTACACATCTCGAAAAGGTAATTCATCAGTCAAATTCTTCCATTTATGAATCATATTATACATTACTTTGGCTTTTTACTTCTACACAAAAGCCGCTAAAAGCTTATCAATGAAAGGGAGGAAAACTGCTGCAATTGGAGAGGATTACCTTGAACATAATCACACTAGCCACTATCGTAAAAGATGTAAACATAACGTAATAGATTGGTGAAACAACAGCTGTATTAAACGTGTCAAGGGCCTGCATTCAACATTCAGAATATCAATCAAATAATACACACCTTGGAAAAAATATAACACAAAAAAGAAAAGAAAAAGAAAATCTGAATACCTTGTTTAAATAGTTCATTTGCGTAATCACACAAACAAGCACCACCAAAGTAAAGAACCAGGTCTGCGGATATACAAGTTGATTCATTCCTGATAGTGTGAGCTTCAAAGCAATCCCAAGTGCTTTAACACTCATGACCTGTCACAAAGGACCTGTTAATGACTGTTTTGGGAAGCAAATGAATCTGCCTTTTTTTCCTAATGTAAAATTGAGAAGGATAGAAGTAGTCCTTACGGATAAAGATCCCACAAGTGAGCAAACTCCAATGTAGAAGAGAATATGAGTTTGCCCATATTGTGGGATATAATGGAATATAAGGATCAATACAGTGATTATTACAACGGCTGCATAGAAGACAAATGCTGCAGGAAAATCATGAAGACCATTAGGCTTAATAACAAGGGAGGGAGAGAGAATACTCATGCAGAAACCAATACCAAGTAAAAAAAATGCCCCTTAAAACCCAGCTCAAAGAAATGGACATACCTGGTTCAGAGGCAAGATTCCATACTTCTATAACCGATTCAATTTCACGTTCTTGAGGAGCATGCAGAACGATTGTTGTAGAACCAACAACACATAATGCACAACCAAGAATTCCAAAAATATGTAGTTTTTCTCGTAAAATTATGTGGGCCAGCACAGCACTGCAATACAATTATTCAGTCAATAAGCAAATCAGGGAAATCTATAAATCAGTCAGTATAGGAATTCATGCCTGATAATGATGCTCAGTGCCCCAAGGGGAGTGACTAAGATAGCTGGGGCAAATGCATAGGCAGCAAAATTGGCAACCTCTCCAACAATCACTGTAGCAACAGAGAGCATACATAAGACATCAATGAACCTATTTATCAGTATCAAGCAATCGGCACTTCACGGAAAGAAGAGAGGGGGAAATTAGCAAAACTTGAGCTTTAACACTTCAATATTTGTTTAGAATCCCAGACAAGCAAAAGGAAGCTACAAAGAACTGGAAAAGAAATTCAAAAGGCTTAGATTCCATGACATGTTTGCAATCCCACTTGATCCATGCATGTGTTTTGAAAAATGTTATAAACAAAGCAACAGGTTTATGCACCAGGGTTAGGCATAAACTACACGAAGGGTTTCCATAAAACACACAAAAGAAAAAAGAAAAAGTTTCATCAAAATGGGAAGATCACATCTTAAAATCTGAGGTAATCGTCCGATGTCATAAGCAATCTAATCGAACTAACAAGCAAATGCAGTGTTCAGGAAAATTATGAACACAAAAATAATGGCAAACTACGATAGGCTCAAATTGCTAGTCAGAAGTTTAATTCAAAATGACCATGTTATCTGAGGCTGTTTCTTATTAATTGTCTTCCAATATTCCTACCGTACAGATTTGAAAACCTTGGAATATGGAAGAGATTATAAGACCATACTGCTAGAAGTATCAAGGGTTAAGATTTCACTAATTTCAAACAACCCTGAATAGAAGTAACTCAGGCAGGGACCCCAAGGTTTGTCAAAAACTTCTACAAGATTCACATATAGGTCCAACAATATCTGCCAAAAAAATTTCTGACAATGTTAAAGAACTGATTGTTGTAATCCTCCCAACTCTGATGAATACTTCCATTGAAAAGGGGAGAAAACACCAAATACACATACATGCATTACATACAAGCTACAAATCGTCTCCGGAAAATAAAGAAAGCACCTGCATGCATGCACGATAAATATTTTTATCTCAAAAGTGGTGGCTCTAATTTCAGAAGCTCAAAGCTTATCCATTGTATAATATAAGGAAAAAAAAAAAAAACAGATTCAGATCTTAGAGCTTATAATATAAACTAACAAAACATGAGAACAGAACTCACTTGTAATCATGCCCACCCACCAAAGTGGCTCATATAGGTATGAATATCCTCCAACTCCTGAAATTATAAATACATAGAGCTCATTATCCAAACTAAAAGCAGATATATGTGTATGTACACACAAATGCATCTCAGGGAAGACTATGCATTATCAGTAGAAAAAGTAGAATAAAGACAGTGCTGATCATTTTTTGCAATTATTTTAATAACAAAAACAGAGCCTCAGCATACATACACCATCTTTTTTGCAACATCTGTCATCAAGCGATTACAAATCAAGACATTTCGCATTGGAAAGATGAAATGTGAACTGAAGGCAACAGTAGTATCACAAGAAAGTCAGAAACTTGGAAGAATTGTGAAGAACGGAAGGATTCAAGACAAGTAAACATATGTGAGAGCAAACAACATTTTGAATTTCTCCAGATGTTTTGTATTTCGACTCATTAGCTTCCAGAAAATACAAAAGCAATGTTATGCTGTTCCGTGGTGTACTGGCAGCATCACAAGCTAAGACTCTGACTTCTAATGTGAGATCACCGGGCGATCATACAAATTGTCCCCTTCTGATACCCCCCCTCCCCCCAAACACACAGAAGCTATTCCTGCACCTTACTTTGAACAAATTACAAATCTGAAATTAGTCTTACATCCATATGCCATGTCTAAAAGTGAATCGCAGTGATCAATAGATTGGCTAGACGGACACTCACTGAAAGAAGTCTGTGGCAGCATAAAAATCTGGGCAGGCACCTAGTCAACTTCCTATTGGCAAATGCCAAAGTACAAATATGGAAAACTTATCCAAGAACCCAACATTACTCAACTGCTATCTCAAGTCAATTCAGTGAAGTTCACCTTCACCTGGAGGGATCTCTCCAAGCATAAGCACAATCATGATAAGAATTATAACCCAAGAACTAATTCCAACCAAAAAAGAGAAAGACTATACAGATGAATAGCATCAAAGTTCAACATCTATGCTGATCCCTGATCGCAAGATCTCAACTCGCTATGATAAAAATGCAATCATTATACAAAACCCAAATGCAGAAAGTGATAAGTAAATTTGAATGCTTGTGATAGAAGTCAACTACAAACCCAATGCTGCTGCGGGGAAAATTAAACAACATGAATTAAACAAAAGAAAAAAAAAAAAAACAGGAATCTTTATTACCAGCTCTGACTCCGGAAGCACCGGCTTTCTTTAAACCCTTTTTCTTAACAATGAAGCTAGCTCCAATAAAGAAACTGGAAGACAATGCAAGAACCAATCCCTTAATATTATCCGAGGACATGCCCTTGTAGGAGTCCCTCCAGCTATGATGCGACGCTACTGCGGCAGCAGCAGTCGTAACAACCCCTTCTGCCGCCATACCATCAAATCACCAAAAAACCCAGAACAGAACGAACCTAACCCTTCACTCACAGTCTCATCTCTAGCAATTTAACACCTCCAATTCACCAAAAAAGAGAAGAGAAAAACGACCCCCAAGATTCAAAAAAGTGTCAGTGGCTTCTCCGTCTTGTGGAAAAAGCTGTATTCGAACTGGATCTTATCAGTGCGTGCACTACTACTGAATTCAAGTCAGACAAAACAATAACAAGTGATGATTTTGGCGGGTCTGATTAGGTTTTGGAAGATCTGAATGGGGGATTTTGATTTTTTTTTTTTCTTTTTTTTGCTGAGTGAGAAAGTACAGCTAATATTATCTGAATTCGTTTGGCTGGTGGGGTTTTGGTTTGGTCATCAGATCGGAGGAAAGTAAAGGAGTGTTTCTATGTGTGTGAATTGTGAAAGACTATTGAAATCGACGGGATGAATGGTAAAATCATCACGACTTCTTTCCGACTCAGTAAATAAGTAAAACCGACATTTCCTCTCTACAATATTTTCGCGTTCATTTTTAATCCTTATCCTCTTTTTCTATTGTGGCTTTTTTACAACGTCGGTGCAAAACACTCTTTTTTTTACCAGTTTGCGAGGGTAAATTTTATCCTAATTACACCTGGTACTGTAAATCCTCCATACTTTTGCAAAGGATTTTGATTTTTGAATTAAAAAAAAAAAGCAGCATCGAATATTAACAATAGCAACTAAATAAAACATACTCCTAATGTTCCAACAAACTATCTATATTAAATTTTGAAATTTATATAGTATTAAAAATACAATAACACAAGCCTTAAAACTCAAAGCTGGATTTTTTTTCTATGGAGGTTATAATTTTTTGTATGACCCTTCAATAAAATGGACCTCGTAAATTTAAAATGTTGTGAGTTGTAATGCTTTCTTTCATTTTATTTGATAAGTATTTTTCTTCAGCTTTTTGTAATATATTTTTTGTAAGTCATTGTATTGCATGATTACTTGACGGGTCTACTTACTGTAGTTTACTTATCGTCATTTTGTTAAGATTTCTGTTTTTTTACGATTCTTACACAAGTTTTAGTCCAAGTCTTGTCATGCAACATTTTTTAAAAATAAAAAAAACATGAATTTTAGAAAATAGAAAATAAGTGAAAAAACCATTTAATTCGAGAAAAATATATTTTGACATGCAATGTTATAAGAAATATTTTCAACTAAGCTACTAATAGAATAATATATAGCCACAAAGTGACACATAAAATATATTTTTCACTCTATAGTAATGCTTCATAGAGTCAGCACCACATTGAGTTTCCGAAAATTAAAAAAGCCTATTGTTTTCAAATAAATATAGTACTGTATTAGAAATTGTCAAATTGAACAATTAATAAATGATTAAGGAAGGCGTGAACGGCTTACAACGCCCTCAACAAAATTCCATTTTTTATTTTTATTTTTTCTTCTCTTTTTTTTTTTGTATAATTGAAAACAGTATCCAATTTCCATTATTCCGAATCTACCCTTTTTTTTTTTTTTTTTTTGTTCCCACATATTCTCACTCTCCTGCGGCGGCTGGCGGCGATTTATCTCATCGCATCGCCGCCAGTGCACCAGTCGCCTACTTCCTTGCTTTTTGTCCCAATTTGTAGCAAAAGTTTGCATTCGTCACTTGCTGCAAGAGAGAAGCAAATTGGACATTTGCATTTTGCAGTTGCCATGGTGACTGCTCAATCCTTATCGGCACAGTGGGTTTACTCCTCAGCTTCAATGCTATGCCCGTCTTCGGTTACCAGTAAAGTAATTTCAGTGAGGTTTTCCATTCGTTGTTACTCAAAGGCGACTTCTGAGAGGAACGAAATCCGGCTCGGCTTGCCGAGTAAAGGTCGCATGGCGACCGATACTCTAGATCTTCTTAAGGTAAGTTTTTCCATGTTTTGTGTGTTTGTTTACATCTTAGTTCTGCATTTCCTGTGTAATGGCTGTTAATCCACATTGTTACTTTTTACAACTGTTAGGATTGTCAGTTGTCCGTGAAGCAAGTGAATCCACGACAGTATGTTGCGGAAATTCCTCAGGTGTGTAGCCTTTATGCGCTTTGAAATGGTTTCTTGAATTATCCAGCATAATTTAGAGCATTTTATGTTGGAATGTAAGTGTAGCTTATGATTTAAGGACACAAAGTTTGGGATAAGATTAAAGAACTATCGTGCTTAATTCATTTGCAGTGGAGCAATACATATTATTTAAGCTGTGGAATCAACAAGCAAACTTCAATGATTGCCAAATCCACAGTATTTAGTTATCTATTTTGTGTGGAGCCCTTTCTTTGTGAGCATTTTTTTCTTTTATGAAAAAAGAGAAGACCTCTCTGTTCTTCTTCTATTGTACATTCATTTTGCCTGACTAAGCTGCCATAATTTCTTTGGATTCATATGTCAATTTGTTTATTTTCTGATTGAGTGTTACTTGCCATTCTGTTACTGAATAAGACCTTTCTTGTTTCCGCGGCAGCTCCCAAATTTAGAAGTCTGGTTTCAGCGGCCGAAAGATGTTGTACGGAAACTAGTGTCTGGAGATTTGGACCTTGGCATTGTTGGGCTTGACACCGTGCATGAATATGGGCAGGTAAGTAAAGAACATCCAGAATGTTTACATAGTTGAATTTTAGCTTTCAAGTATAGTTAGGCAGTATGATTGTTATTCGAGGAAATACTTAGTCGTGTGTGGGGAAGGTTCATGTATATGGATTACATTTGTGTTTAGTGTAGCATCTAATTGGCGTTAAACTTAAAAATTGAACTGTGACAACTGAATTATATAATGTGACAGTGCTTATAGAGTTTTGGTTTCTTTGATGCACAAAAGTTGTTAGAGGCCTCTGGTTCTGTTTATTGTTCAAGCAATAGGTTTGTGATATCTTTTCACAATTCATCTATTTGGATTTTCAGCATGTTATCTCCCGTGGAAGCATAATCTTCTTGAGTTTTTTTCAGCCATAGTATTGCGTAACAATAAACAACAAAGCATTTCTTTACGGCTTGGAATGGCTGTGTTCTTAGAAGCTAAAAGCCAGCTCATAGTTTTCTTTTTTTTTCTTTTAACTCTAGCGAAGAAGCTTGTATCTACCCAAACTTATCTATCTATATAGCTCATAGATGCTTGATCTAGCATTAAAATCCATACATGGTGTTTTAACATGTAATGATTAACCTCTCGCATTACTTTAATAAAAGGTATTTATCTACAGCTGGAAAACTTCCTTGAGAGACTTATAAAGAGTGTCTGGCAGAAAATTGTCTCTTTGAATTAAAAAGATTGGGCTACTTCCATGGTGTTGATTATAATTTTTTCTTTGTGTGTCAACTTGACGTGTTCCTCCGTTCTCCCATCTGGATCTCTAGTAGATTGTTTTGGCTGGCTACTAATGTTTAAGCTTCTTTTCTTCAGGGGAATGAGGATCTTGTTATTGTTCATGAGGCACTGGGGTTTGGAGATTGTCGTTTGTCCCTTGCTGTATGTCATGTTTATCATTTAAATTTGATTTAGAAAAGCGCATTTGTTTTCTTTACACAAGGTTACTCTAATAATTTCTTGGTTATCAGATACCTAAGTATGGGATTTTTGAGAATGTTAACTCAATAGAAGATCTTGCACAAATGCCGCAGTGGACACTTGAGAGACCTTTGAGAGTTGCAACTGGTTTCACCTATGTAAGTTATATCAAGATCTTGAACTATTCGCTCCTCTTCCTTTTTAATTTTAATTTTTAAACAAATAACATTTCTTTTGAATTGATAACAGATGGGCGATAAATTTATGAAAGAGAAGGGATTGAAGTATGTGACTTTTTCAACAGCCGATGGAGCCTTGGAAGCTGCTCCTGCAGTAAGTCTATTTTTGTAATTACATTCATTTTCTAAACCATGACATGAGTGAATCCTGAAAAGCATAACATGTGGTCCATTTCTGGAAGGAAAAATATGTCAATCTGCTGATCATAATATTTATCGAAGTCCTTAAAATGGCATAACCTGTTTTCACTGTTCTGGTATACTTCAGTCACAGACATTATTTTCGTATATTTAAACTCAACATATAAATTCCACCACTTTGTTTTTTCTTCTTAATTCATTAACATTTAGAACTATTTTTGACACATTGAAATGAAAATCATGTGCTCTTTGAGGTTTTTATGAAAAGTAGTTGCTAATGAGTACCAGTTTTGGTGGTTGATAGACTGAATCTATTCAACTTTTTGCTCATAATGCATGCTGTATAGGAGTTCATCTAGTAACAAACCATGCAGTCCAGTCATTCAAAATTGACTAATAGAAATCTGAAAGAAGGATAGATTTAAGGTCTATTTGAAAATGAAGGGCTTCCCGATGTTACCTTCCATCATATATTGGAAGTTTTACTGCCATGAAGTTTTATCCTTTAAGTTTTTTTTGTTTGTTTGTTTGGGTGGTTGCTTTTTGGCAAATTGCATTTTGTTTTTGTGCAGAAATTAAGTTAATCATGCTATGTATTAAACTATTTTTCGCATCTTCCTTTCGATGATTGTGACCCTATTAGAACTACCTAGGCATCCCACATGTTGCTGTTGACCACAGTTTTCTTGTCAATTCAGATGGGGATAGCTGATGCCATTGTAGATCTTGTAAGTAGTGGAACTACTTTGAAAGAGAACAACCTAAAGGAAATTGAAGGTGGAATTATTTTGGAAAGTCAGGTGATCACACTATCTTTATGTACTGCTTAATATGGTTATACAAATACAATCTCTATAGTTTTGATTTTTGTTTACCACTTTAGGCTGTCCTTGTTGCTAGTAGGAAGTCACTGGTCAAGAGAAAAGGCGTGCTTGACGTAACACATGAAATGCTCGAAAGATTGGAGGCTCACCTGAGGGCCGTGGGACAATTCACGGTTTGCATTATTGACTTTAGTTAGTTTCGTGCATCAATATGTCTCCACTCCTGTATTTCTCATGTATTTTTCATAGGTAACTGCCAATATGAGGGGGAGCAGTGCTGAGGAAGTGGCTACCCGAGTACTGAGCCAACCATCATTATCAGGGTTGCAGGTGAATTGAATCAAACCCACATCAAGACAGAAGAAATGTTATCTTTGTACTAGAATTTAAGAACTTTAAAATCTCCATTTTCTCTTGTTTAAACTCCTTAGTATCTACCTTGCAGGGACCCACTGTAAGTACAGTTTACTGCAATCGCAATGGAAGGGTAACTCCTGATTATTATGCCGTGGTCATATGCGTGCCAAAGAAAGAACTGTACAAGTCCGTGCAACAATTGAGGGCGGTGAGATAATAAGCTCTGACTAGTTTATGTTCTTGCATGTCAATTGCCAACACTTGGTACCTCTATACTTTCAAAACCGTGACAAACACAATTATTATGTTGGTTAGTGCTGCTGATGTGGATGGTTTAAGTTCCAAAATCTTATAATGACCTATTGTTTATATGCCCTTAAGATCTTTTGTTTCTTCTTGTGTCACAGTTACACTATTTAAATGAACAGGACAAACGCTCATATTTTTATTTTTTATGCGTGATATTCGAATGTGCTCTCACTAATCAAACCTTTTATGTCAACTCATCTCTTTTGAAGTGCCTAATCTTGTTTCTTTTTTGGTACTGTTGCAGATTGGTGGTAGTGGTGTTCTAATTTCTCCTCTGACCTATATCTTTGATGAGGAAACACCAAGATGGCGTGAGCTTCTCTCGAAACTAGGGCTCTAGTTGCTCTTTGTTTCTGAATTTATTGCGCAGCATTTTGTAGCGCTGCCCGAGGGAACGTGAATTTGAGTCTAGGTTTCGTCACCAATCTAAGACAGTTGACAATCCCAGTATCTCTCTTCCATTCAAGTTGTATTTTCAAACTTTGTTCCCATAGTTTCTGTAGTATAATTATTAGGAGTGCTTTGGAGGGAACCTAGTGGTTTAAACTGCTAGATTAGGCTGGAGGCTGTGAGCTAAACCATCCTAATTCCTAACTCGGAATTTGTTGGTAAACTGCCTAACGCAATTGGCTTATTACTGCTATAAAAATGTTTATTTTTCCGATGACAAAAACAAAGAAATTGTATTCCATCATTTATTTCATGCATTTATTGTTTTGGGGTAGTATTTTTCCTTTTAATTTTTATTAGTTGTCTAAGTTTTTACAATATATTTACACTCCAATTGTGCCAATTTTTATATTTATGGTTTCCCCTTCTTACATTATTAGAACCTTAGGAGATTATTATCTTATATGTTCTTTCAATGTGTGGTCTTAGTTGTATTTTTTTTAATTATAAATGTAAAAACATGTATTGAAATGTAAAAAAATGTACTGAAATAATACAATCATTAACAAAAAAAAAAAAACCAATGAAAAAACGTACCAAACACCCCAATTATTCAACACCTAGGTAACCTGCATCGTTGAGTAGAATAAGCTGTATCATTAACCAACCTGCTGTATTATTAACCAACCTGTATATTCAAAGTACATAAAAAAACATCTTCCATCTTTCATCAACTAACTTTGGAGGCAATCAAATTTTCGTAATCTACATTCAATCCCTCAAGCAACATTATTTAGATTGAATTCTTACATTTTCTATCTCTGGTCAAGGAACACTTTCTGTGCATGTCATGGTTTGCTTGCCTCATATCACGTCGATACTACCAACGGAACCATATTATAACACCAATCACGAAGGGGAAATTAACTCGCATCAATTCAATATAACTGAATCCAAAATAGATCAATACACTTTGAACAACCCATAAGTGTTGTTATTTTAGCAAATTTAATAAATTGTGACATGCTTTAAGCAATCGCAAACTAAACAGTCACACTAATTCTCACAAGTCCTACTTTCTCCATTTCAAAATTATTGTTCAATTTGGATTTTCACTTATTGTTCTATTTGTAATCAAAAATTTCAAATTGGACAATAATTTTGAAAAGTATTAAATTAGGAGATTATTCAGTCAAGTTGATAACAAACCTTGAATAAAATAAAATAAATAAAAAAGAAGTAAAAACCAGACGAGAAATATTTGTCGATGAGGTTATTACTGTAGTTAATTTCTATTATTACTGAGAGAAAAAAAAAAAATCAAAAGGCGACGACGTCGTTGGATGTTGTTGATACTGGATAAAGTGTTTTTTTTTTTTTCTTTTTTTTGGTTTATTAAAGGTAAAACCTCAGAAAAACCCTAAAACATTCAACTCGGCGTTCCCTCCCCTTCTTTCGTCCGAACTCTGTCGTCATCAACCCAGAACAGGATGACAGAGGAGAAGAAGTCCAAAAACTCTAAGGGGAAAAAGAAAGCTGGAAAGCAGGCGGAGGAACAATCTCAATTGAATTTTAAGGAAATAGAAAAAGCCGTCACCGGAGTGCAAGATTGGGATTCCGGCGAAAGTGGGAGCTCCGACTTCGAGCCGGTGGTAATAATTGACTATCTATCCTTTTCTGTTTTGCTTAATCATGAAAGAAATCCGGTTTTGTTTATGTTTTTCAATTTGATTTTTAGTTTTGAAAAATGCCGCTGTTGCTTAGCTCACAAATTATGGCTTTCGCAGCTCTAAAAGGCTTCTTCTTTTTTTTTAAACTTTGTACTGAAGGGCGGCCATCACATTGTTAACTTTCATTAGATTGAGTGCTTCTGTGACCAATGATGTCTCTTTGGTCGGTATTTACAGGTTTCGGATGGGTATGACTCACTGACTGATACAGGATCAGAATCTGTCCAGCTCACGGAATCTGAGAATGAGGTACCCGGAAATTCACTATACTCATAGTTATCAATTGAATAAATGATGCCATGTGTATCTTACATATTATGCTTGATATGAGAGCTGAGCTTACCTAGCAGTGGAAGTTCGTTCTCTTTGTCTACAATGTTTCTTTTGTTTCTGTATTTTTTAATGCCTTGGATGCAAATTTTGGCAGGGTGACGGTGTTCGTGATTCCGCATACGATGTCTCTTCTGAGACTGATTCTTCTGAAGATGAGGTGAGTTGCCAGTTAATTTTGTTTGTAGAAATTGTTTATTTTCTTATTATTTCCTGGGGTACACCTTTCTCTTTCATTTCCTTGGAATGAGAAAAGCTTAGCATTCAAATGGATTGTCTGAAAATGTCTCTATTCTGGATATTAATGGTGAGGGTGGCCTAAGTTATGCCATTCGGTTCTCCTTGAGCTTAAGTATATACACTGAGCTACGTAGTGTGTTCAATCTGCAGATAGAGAGTCTATTGTTTAATTGGTGTTCTCTTAGGTCTTTACCTTTAGTGGCGTTCTAATATCCTGTTTCTGTAATATCCCTTTGTTAAATGGTAAACTCTCCTAGTACCTAAAACTTCTTTGTCTCTCTTGTCAATATAGGTAGCTCCTCAAAATACTGTTGGATATGATGCTCCTGAGGAGAGTGATTCTGAGGATGATGATGCTCCTGAGGAGAGTGATTCCTCTGAAGATGAGGTGATCAGTCATTTAAGTTTCTCTGAGGAAACTGTTTATTTTTATATTCTTTCCTGGTGTATTCCTTTCTTTGTTGTTTCTGTAGAACAAGAACAGCTTAATATTGAAATGGATATCCTGAAAATGCCTTTAATCTGGGTAAAAATCATGATGAAGGCACTAGCTATATTTGCTGAGCAAATTAGCTAGTATGTTCAATTGCTAATAGCAGGTGTTTTGTATAATTGGCTGTTCTCATACTCTACTACTTTGGTGGCTTTCTAATATCGTACTTATTTTAACATATCTTTCTTAAATGGTTTGATTACCTAGTACCTAAGACTTCTTTTCTTCTCTTGTCTCTGTAGGTACCTCCTCGAAATACCGTTGGAGATATTCCTTTTGAATGGTATAGAGAAGAAGAGCACGCTGGATATGATCCCTCCGGAAAGAAGATCAAAAAGAAGGAAAGGGAGAATAAACTTGACAAGTATCTTGAAATGATTGATAATGCAAAGAACTGGTAAATATTATAATATCCTCTCTGTGGTATTTAGTTGTTTTGAATCCTTACTAGTTATGTGCAGCATTAGGGATCTCAGATGCTGTGCCTGGTTCGCTTCCATTGTAGACGCTCTTTGCTTCCTGATGATGTATATGAGCGCCAAAATGAAGTTTCCATGTTGCTTGTTTACCTTCATGTGTGACTGTATTTTCTTTCAGTGATAAGTCTCTCATGCATGTGCAGGTGTGCTTTAAAAAAAGTATTGATATTATGATCATGTAGTGTTTCTTCTCTTCAGTGTTGTTATTTATGTTGTATTGAGTGTTTCCATTCTTTTTGCTTACACTGATTTTCCTTATTTTTAGGCGTCGGATCTATAATGAACGTGATGATGAAGTTGTGGAGCTGACAAAAGAAGAGACTAAGATGATACGTAAAATACTCAAAGGAATGGCACCACACCCGGAATTTGATCCATATCAGGTACTTTTGGTTATTCCAAGTTTCTTATAGCTAAGTATTTTTCAAATCTATCCTGTGTTGTTCGTGCCTATAAGCGTCCAAAGGTTTCTTATGGCTCCTGTGTTATGTGCAGGACTCTGTTGATTGGGTTAAGGTAGATAAAGCTGAGCATCCATTCCCAGATGCACCGGAACCAAAGAGACGTTTTATTCCTTCGAAGTGGGAGAGCAAAATGGTGGGTGGTTTTGTCATAGCTAAGAGTGAAGTTCTTTTTCTAATTGAAATCAAAATCTAATATGTCTGTGAATCAATTTGAATGATTTTATACTTAGTTTATATTGTTTCATATTGCTGGACTACCTTTCTGTTGAGGAAAGATAATGATCATTCACAGTGTTCTGTACGCTTTTAGTTTTCTCCTTTAATGGGTTCATTTGCTCTTACAGGTGGTGCGCTTGGTACGTGGAATTCGAAAAGGATTAATAAAAGTTGATGATAAGCCCAAAGAGGAGGATCGAGTATATCTTTTATGGAGTGATGATCCTAACTCAACTGATAGACACCATATTCCAGCACCAAAACCTAAGTTGCCTGGTCGGTAATCTAAGACGAAATCTAATGTTGCAGATGGTGTATATGTTTTAATTCTGCATTGTTGCTGAAGATATACCACTAATCTATTTGGATTGCAGGACACGAGGAATCTTACAATCCTTCTTTGGAATATATTCCGACCGAAGAAGAGATAAAATCTTATGACCTCATGTATGAAGAAGACCGGCCCAAATTTATTCCTAAAAGGTATCTACGGGTGCCAATTTGAGTTTGTCATGTTTATAAAAGTTTTCCTCTGTCTACTTTTCAAAGCTGATCATGAGGATTTTCTTATGCCTAATTCTTTAGGTTCACATCCATAAGAAGTGTTCCTGCTTATGATAAAGCTGTTAGAGAAACATTTGATCGATGCTTAGATCTTTACCTGTGCCCAAGGACCCATAAGAAACGTGTATGTTTGGTTATGTGAATTTGATTCTTCCTAAATAGGTAGACTTTTTTTGTTTTGATTTGGAAAATGTCTAATGAAATTCTTCTTCTTTCTCCTCCTTCTTCTTCTTCTTCTTTTTTTTTTTTTGGTGATGTAGATTAACATTGATCCTGAATCCTTGAAACCCAAACTGCCCAGCCGCAAAGATCTTAAACCCTATCCATCGAAATGTTATCTTGAGTATAAAGGCCATAAGGGCCCTGTGGTATCAATATCAACAGATTCTACTGGCCAATGGATTGCTTCTGGTATAGTTCCATCTTCTTATTTATTTGTTGCTCTCTTTTGTTGATCAAATTTGTTATTTGATTCTCCTGGATGTTTTTAAGGTTCTAAGGATGGAACGGTTCGTATCTGGGAGGTGGATACTGGAAGATGTCTTCGAGTGTGGGAGTTGGGGGAAGCTGTGCAGCATGTTGCATGGAACCCTTCACCTGAGCTTTCAATTTTGGCTGCCACAGTGTAAGTTTGATATTTTAGATTGTCTGTATCCTTCCTTGTGAGCTTCTACCTTGACACCAGTGTGATTTTCAGGGGGCAAGATGTATTTCTCCTGAAAACTGGATTTGGTACCGAAGAAGAACAGAAAAGGGTTGATGACCTTCTGCAGTTTCAATCACAAACAATTCCAGATGCATCAGGTCTATTTTGGATCATTTTTTGCTCATTAACATCTCCTGGACAACTCCTTAATTGTATCATTATATTTCCTTTCTCAGGTGGCAGTGAGAACATTGTGAAATGGTCTCAGGATGATATTCATGGTGGAATTAGATTGAACCACTTTAAGGTAAAAATATTGGTCAACTTCCTTTCGTAGTTCTGGAAGCTGTTTAAATATCCTAACTTAACTTATATGATTGAGCTTTCTGCAAGTCTAACGTCTCACTATTGTGGAAATATGCAGACTGTGTCTTCTGTTGAATGGCATCGTAAAGGAGACTATTTTTCCACTCTTATGCCACATGATATCCTTTTTTCAATCTTATATTGGTTCTTGTTTTGGTTATTATTTTCTGCAACGGTAATTACATTTAGTGTTTCATATCAGAAGGGTGAAAATGCATAGTTGGATGCCACTTTCTTTCCCCTCTTCTTCACAAGGCCCTTCTACCAAGATAATAGGGTGTTAGAATTCCGAATAAAAATGGAATGCTTCACTTTGTCAAAATTCTTTTCTATTTTTTAATCACTTTGATAGAGCAGGATCAGTTAAGATGGAGTATGAATTTTCTGCCCTGGTAGACCTAATCCTTTTTCTAGAACATCATCAATGAATGCTTTCTTTAGGATTTATTACTTGCGGCAAATCCTAAAAGTTCGATTAGATGAAATCATATTCTTGTTTTGTCCTAGATAAAGTTCTTACCTCTGAATTGCTTTATCCCATGTGCATTGGCATTGATTATAAATAATATGCCAAATGAACACTAGGTTGTATATCTTTTTGAATAAATGATGACATTATCCGTTAGATACCAAATGTGTTTCCTTGACAGACTTGTACGTGAATCGAGAGCAGTATTGGTTCATCAGCTATCCAAGGGTGTAACACAAAGGATACCATTCAAATTGCATGGACTGCCAGTTTCAACTGCTTTCCATCCAACACGTTCAATATTTTTCATTTCGACGAAGAAAAATGTCCGTGTCTATGATCTATTGAAGCAGAAACTTGTTAAGAAGCTTGAGACTGGACTACGTGAAGTCTCCTCGATTGCTATTCATGCTGGTGGTATGAAAGTCGTTCCTAAAGACTTTGTCCTAACTTTTTGCAATTTATTGTTTGCTATGTTTGATTTTGCAATTCCTCTGTTGCAGGTGACAATGTCATTGTGGGTAGCAAAGATGGAAAATTATGTTGGTTTGACATGGACCTCTCGTCTCAACCTTATAAAGTTCTCAAGTATGTCCATATTTATCCATTCATTGTTAGGAAAAAAACTTCTGAACATTTCTCTTATATTTATTGGAACTTAAGTTGAGGTCCGATGCAAATTTGGGCGGTACTTTCTTTGGTATAGTGAGTAAAACCATGGAAACAGAAGTGAATGCGTGATAGCAGATACAAGAGCAAAGAAAGTTTACTCAACTTGCATTATCTGCGTTTTCGTGTCTCTCAGTGTCGCTAAATTAGTTCGTAAGTCATAACGACAAAGATGATACAGCTTGGTTATTAGGTATTTTTGGAAAATAAGTTACTGTAGGTAGAGTAAATGCCAAAACCTTTGATTGGAGTAGCAGAGAATTGAACTAACAGTCTAGTATTAGGATGCAGAGGTCCATCTTTGCACTGATGTATATAAATGTTTTTGAGCCCAATCATTGTTGGATCATGTGTACATTGATGCACCTGTAAAATGGTTGTTGCTTTAGATTGATTGGATTGGAATGACTGTTAAAATCAGCAAAAACGGATCACAAACCTGCTTCACTTAAAAGATGCTAACATCAAAATAGGTTTTTTTGTTCTACTTGTTTTTCCTCCTTTAACTGTTTTTGAGCCTTCTTAATTGAGTCCATTTTGTTTATGAATTTTCAGCTGTCATAAAAAGGATATCAACAAGGTGGCCTTTCACCGTTCTTACCCTCTCTTTGCTTCGTGTTCGGATGACTGCACAGCATACATCTTCCACGGCATGGTATATTCTGATTTGAATCAAAACCCATTGATTGTACCTTTGGAGATTCTGCGAGGGCATGCGAGCCTCAATGGAAGAGGTAATTAGTTGATTTTAGTTCATAATTCTGATTTTACCGTTACTTAAGAGACTGGCCCCTGAATTGGTCTTCCCTAGGAAGACGAATATGCGCCCTTTCAGTATGGTGGTGATCTGAGTTTATTATTCAAAGAAGTAGAGGATGTGATAGAGCAGTATGATGGTTTCCAGCCATGGGAAATTTTCTAAAATTTGATCTATGTTTGATCATTTGTGATTATATGCACAATGAAGTGTGCCGTATGACTCCTTTTTGAGTTTTAATGGTGTTAAAGTTAAACCTTGTTATTGTGCAGGAGGAGTTTTGGACTGCAAGTTCCATCCCAGGCAACCGTGGTTGTTTACGGCAGGAGATGATTCTGTGATCAAGCTCTATTGTCATTAGGGTGAGGACGGAGCATGATTCTTCTTTGTGGAATATATGATCCCGTTTCCGAAAGAGACAGAAAAGTAGCAGCACAATGGCCTTTGTTTTTTATGAAAGTGAAGCGCCTTCTAGTTATTATAAACCATGTAGTGTATTTCTCCCAGTTTTGTTCGAGTGGATTTGGGGGTTGCTGCCTCTTGATTTTATATATGTAGTTACTCTTGTATCCAGGAAACAACTTAATTAAAAAAAAAATTAAATGTTTCAGAAAATGTGTGTGTGTGTGTGTGTGTGTGTGTGTGTTTTTTATAAGGACGGTTGAAATCTCTATTCATCTCTTGCAAAGGTTCAAGCGGTGGTCTCAATTATCTGTTAGAAACCTAAGGAATGGCCGGCTAAAGTGAACCCTATTGTATAACGTTTCAAGGCACATTCTTGATGTGTTGGTACATTTTTCATATGTTGTGTGGCAAGAAACAACTTGCTTTTCCTCTCTTTTTCGAACAAATATTTCTATAAGAACTATTGAAGATAACTGATAGGTAACTTTGTCATATACGACAATTCTGTACAAGATGTAGTGACTAAGGATAAAAATAAATAAGCATCCAACTGGCTAGAGTCAACTAAATATGATGCAACTATCGTGTACGTGCTCAAGAAGCTTTCATCTTTTGGAATTGGCCCATAATTTGCAAGTGCACCAGACCAAGATAGACCATGTGCAATGGTTTAAGTAGGCGTAGTCTTCTACTGCAAGAGCTGTACTGCGGCAATAGCTGGAATTTTTTCTCTCAGTTTTTGCGTAACTGCAACCCGAACAGTCATCACACTAGCAGCAGGGCCGGTTATCCTGACCTTAACTATTGGCTCCTCAATAGCAACAAATTCCAATGTTCCACCGGCTGCACCAACAAGATAGGGTCTAATTTCCTCAAGGACCTGCAGAAGTGCAGGAACAAGACTTTATTAGAAGCTAACATACAGCAACTTGAGCATCCAATATTCAGACCCACAAGCGAGCAAACATGCCGAGAATCAAACATTCCCATCAAGTGCAAAAATCATGAAACAAGTCATTAATTTTTTAAGTCCAGGCGTCATTTAAGTAGTCTAGTACATTTCTTCAGATGCTAAGACAATCATCAGCCAAATGCTGTGTTAGGACCATTACAACAAACGCGACGTTTTGCATTTGTTTGGGGAAAAGGAATACAACTCTGTGTATGAACTTTTCTTAGGAGTTGAAGTTAGGAAGAATTGTATGCATATCATAGTCAGGAATTAGAGATCAAGGCACTTGCAAAGAGAAACAGAATATTGTTCCCAGTTTGCGGCTAACAGTCTCGGTACAATGCACTCTAGATGAAGGTTTTAGATGCAGTCTCATTCTTTATATAATGCTTCACAAAACAAGTAACTGAACTATTGTGATATGTTAGAATACCCTGCACACTGAATTTTTCTGCTAATAAACTAAAATAAACCAATTTAACAACTCCACCTCAATTCTATCTCTCTAAGGAATAGTTCCACAATATAATCAAACACGTGTTCTGGTAGAAGCAAAGACACAACAGATAATTAAATTGAACGTCTTCTTAGTACAAAATGAAGAGCTAACAGAGATAGAATAATACGTAAGTCATGCAGGCAGCAAAAGGGTAGACAATAACATCTTACCTTTTCTATATTTTCTTCATTCAATTCAAGGCCAGTTTCTTCATCTGGCACTGCTTCAACGGCAACCACCTCAGGGATCTTCTCCATCAGACGGCGTTCAATGCCCATTTTCATGGTCACTGTGGAGCTCGGACAGGATCCACATGCTCCTTGTAGCTTCAGCTTCACAATGTTTCCATCTATTTCATGCAACGCAACATTACCTCCATCTGCAATAAGATAAGGTCTAACTTCATCCAACACGCTCTCAACATTTTCTACGGTGAGGGGCAATTCCACAGCTGAATCCGGAGTCGCAACAGCTCTCACAACTGCAGAAACATGAACAGATAACTAAAGAATTAACGATTACAGCAATAAATTTTCCTGTGCAATCCAAAATATGCAACTCACCCTCAGATTAGCAAAAAGTTCCGATGAAGTTACACAAATTAAACCATGCAATAGAGAATCTCAATCTGTTTTACCCACAGAAACACCAGCAAAGCTAGATTGGAATAAAACAAACATTCTTTCCCTAATTCCTAATGGCTTGCAATTAGAAACCATGTTTAGTATCTCTCTCGATGGTCATACAATTTTAATAGAATCCCACATAACTAGCTTCCGCCATCTCAGACTAAATATAAACATAAAACGAACAAATTTTTATACATTCTTTCTATCAACAAAGATAATCAATAGCCAAAGTTTTACAGGCACAATCAAATTACTATCACTCGAACTCATTACATTTTTAACGAGCAAACAAGATGAGCTCATAAACTTATAGCTAGTGAAAAAATAAAAATACAGAAAGTCAAACCATGAAGCAAAACCATCTAAGCTCACCTAATTTCCGCGAATCCTTGGACAAAATAATCCGGTCGGAACGACCTACGATCCGCCTCACCAAATTTTGTGGCCTTCCCAAGGAAGAAGTCCCACCTCTCAAGAAATTTGAACCCTGCAATCAAATCCGGCGAATCATATCAAAAAAGGACAAACCCAAAAGAAGAAAGTAAATATTTCTTCAAAAATTGAAAGAATTAACAGAAACCCATATACCCCGCGATTATGGAAAGCGGCCTTGGGGGGAGAAGGAGCATGGGAAGAGGAACAGGAGTCAAGGGAGCGCTGTTGGGGATTATATTTGTATGCATAAGCTGGAGAGTTCAACACCGCGGCACTGGCTGCGGCTTGCATCGTTTCTTCTGGTTGTTTTGATTCCACCGGCCGTGCAAAGACCAAAGCTCAGACGTCCGAATATTCAAGAGAGCTTCGATGATTTTCTTGGTTGGGATTATAGCAATTGAGCAATTACAACTCAAATTGTGGAAGAAAATATTTGTCTGTGGGGAAAGGCTGCTGGAGGTATTCTTCAGAATCGACAAAACGACTCTCGTAAAAAAATTAAATAAAAATTAAAAAAAGTAAATTTATTTTATACTCCTTATAGGCTTATACGGTTATACGTTAGTGAAATACACCGAAATTTCATAATATAAGCACACTAAAAATTGTACTCCATCTTATGCCTTAAACCTTATTTATACTTTATACTTTATACTAGTGTTTTGTTCAAGATATATATGAGTTAAATGATTTAACGTTGATATGACACTTTCTATAGAGTCATATATGTAAAAAAAAATAACATTAATAATATAAATTACCATTATATTTTAATGTCAATGTGCCTTATTATTTTATTTACACTTTGAATAATTCTCAATATTTGAAATCATCCAATGTAACTTATTTTTCATCTTTTTGGTTTTATTGATTTATGGTTTTATATCTCTTAATTTTCATAACGATCTCTCCGAATAATACTATCCATGTCATATCTTCTAAACTCTCTCTAACAAAAATTTTCTCTCATTTCTTTCCATAAACTTATCTTTATTTTCCATCTCTCTCTATATAATGTTTGCAACCTTTTTTTAGAATTTTGTTCTCCAGTCTCCTACGGTCTAATACAGGGAGTGAATCAGTTTTCAAGGAGAGGCGGAGTATAACTTTCCTAAAATATAGTGTTTATTTATTTTTTTTCTTGGTTTATAGTTTTCACCTTTTTTATTTATTTAATAACCTCTCTTTAAAGCTTTATTTGTTGAAAATATGCAATAATTATTTTATTATTCATTATTATCTCTTTTTTTCATATTTCCTTAGTTTCTACATAATGTTTTTATCTATATAATTATTTTTAATTTCTCAATATTTTTTATTTTCTATTGTTGTTTCTCACAAAAACCTTTATTCTTTTTCGTAGTTTGAAAATTTTTCTCGCTATTGATATTTACATTTGGTCATAATGTTACCATTATATTACAGGAAAAAAAATGAATCATCTAATTATTTTTTCTATATTTTGCTGTAAATTACCAATTTTTGTGAAAGTTAGAAGATTTATCGATGAAAATCATATGGCACACTTGAACTTCAAGATGCATATACAGAAGAAAAGAAACAAAAAAGAAAAAAAACAACTATTTAGTAACCATATGAAATATTAATTCTCTTAAATACAATAAAATAATTTTGATTATGGGCAATCGAAAATATGCTTTATATTATTTTCATTTTTATCTAGACGTGTTAATGTTATATAACATAAATTAATTTAAGCATTTATTTATTATTTATTTTTAAAAAAAACTTATCTTTTTTTATTCTGATCTTTAATTATGTTTAAATGTAACACTTATTCTCTCGCACAACGTGAAATCGTGGATGTGATATTAGTGGTTATTCTAATTGATGATTAATAATATTTGATATGCCTAATTTGATATATGGATTGGTAGGGATTAATAATTTGGATAAATAATATTAATATTATTATTTACGATATATTAATATTAATATATTAATACTATTTATCCAAGACAGAAAAATTTAATTATGGCGACATGTACTGTTGTGATTCTTTTAGTAATTATTTAACCCCTGGAGTATATTTTACTTCATGGTTGTTAAACTGTTATTATAAATTTATCTTTTGTTTTTTTCTTTTTGTTCATGTGTATAATAATAATTATTATTAAAAAAGACACGTTACTTTTAACCCAAACGCCTCTCTCCTCCCTCCCTCTCTATAGTTGCCGCCGCTGCCTCAAAAGATTTTTGTGAAAGGATTCTTGTGATAAACAAAGTAAATAATGTTGAGTAAAAAAAAGTAAATAATGATATTCACAATCAAATTTTCAAAATGTGAAAATTTGATTATTCTGCACGTGAGTACTTATGATTAGGAACATAAATATAAAAAAGTGAGGAAATAATTCCTTATAGTAATATCCCTGTTAATGCAAGTTTTCTTTATACATTTTACAATCTACCTTAAAAAAATACTATTAAATGATGGAGCGATGTGGTTGTGACATGTGAATTTGACTATCTAATTTTTCGCCACGTGAATTAACCTCTCTAAATTTGCACCATGTGTCCGATAAATTCTCCTTTAATATATATAGAGATATAGTACTCCCTCTATCCCAAAATTATTGTCCAGTTTGATATTTCATCTAGTACAATTTGAACTAAAAATAAAAACTCAAACTGGATAATAATTATGGGACGGAGGGAGTATTAATATATCTAAATGTTTATAAATGTATGAACCCTTAAAACAAAACCAGGATTACACAACACTCATTCGAGCAAGATAGTACTTTAAAAGAAAAATTTTAAAAAAGTAAATTATTCTATAGGAGTATATATTGTGTTTAGTTGTTCAAAAATAATAGTGAGATAAATTTCAATTGTGTAATTTTGAATATCAATGCGTTTTGTTATTTTAAGTATATTTTAAATAATTTTCAATATACGAAATCATCCAATTTAACTTATTGTCTTTCTTTTCTTTTTTTTTTTGTAAATTTATGGCTTTATATCTTTTAAAAGTAATTTTGTTAATTTTTATAATAGTCTCTCTAGATATTTCTACTCGCGTTATATCTTTTAAACTCCCCCTTTAACAGAAGGTTTTTTCATTATTTTTTCCCATAAAGTTATCTTTATTTTTCATGTCTCTATATACTTTTTGCAACTTTTCTTATAAATTTGTACGTAGATTATACTACAGTGTTTACTTTATTTTTTTTTCTTGGTTGCTTAGCCTTCAATTTTTTTTTTCCTAAGTTTGATGACCTCTCTTTAGAGTTTTGTTACTTGAAAATTTTGTTATTATTTTTTTTTACTTTATTTTGGTTTTTTTTTCATATTTTTTTATTCTCCACATAATATTTTCCTCCATATAATTATTTTTAATTTCTCAATATGTTTTTCTTCAATTATTTGTCTCTCACAAATATTTTTATTTTTTTCATTTTGGAAAACTTTTTCCCTATCAATCTCTACATGTTGTTTTATTGTCATAACTTTAACTTTTTCTAACATTATATCATATGAAAAAAATAATGAATATATTATATTAATTCATTAATAATCAATTATTATATTCCCTCCGTCCCATAATCATTGTCCACTTTGCCCAAAAAATTTTGTTCCAAAATTAGTGTCCAATTTGACTTTTTATGGATCAAGTTACACATTTGTCCTTAGTAAAAAACATTATCCATAAAATCTTAGTGGTTAAACAATTACTTATGTAGGGGTATATCCGTTTGTTTAAGGTAAAATATAGTTAAGTTTGACTAAAAATAAAACTTTTCATTTTAGTAAAACTGGACAATAATTATGAGACGGAGGGAGTATTATTTATAATTTAATATTATATAATTAAAATTTTGACGATTATACAACATAATTCTATTCTTAGTATTATTTTTTCTTTTGTAATTTTTACACAACGTAATCAATATTACTCGTTATTAGTATTTCCAGGCAAGGGGCAATAAATATATTAACTTAAAAAAGTTTATAATCAAAACACCACCAAAAATAAAAACCAATGCACAAATCAGTAAAAAGAAAAAAAATCGATTAATGGGTACACTTTAACAATTAACTGTAGAAATTAATATTGATATGTGAATTGACTTTTCTCATCATAGCGTCGTTTCTTCTGGTTGGTTTTTATTCATCTGGTAGAAAAAAAGTGCAAAGACCAAAGCTCAGGCGTCTGAATATTCCAGAAACGCTTCGTTGATTTTTTTGGTTGAGTTTAGACTTTAGAGCAAGGGAAAGGCGGTGTGGAGGAAATTCTTTTTTTTCTTTCCCTTTTTTTTTTCCTAAAGGAAATTATTAAACCGGAGTATTTTCTTAGTTATATTGTATTTTTTTTTAGAGAAAATACTGTATTTGTTTGGTTTTCCACCCAAGACATCGCGTTTTTCACTCTACAAGACAATAAAACGAAAAGAAATATTTTTTATATAAAAAATAGAAATACTCTCGAAGAACCGGAGTATTTTCTTAGTTATATTGTATTTTTTTTCAGAGAAAATACTGTATTTGTTTGGTTTTCCACCCAAGACATCGCGTTTTTCACTCTACAAGACAATAAAACGAAAAGAAATATTTTTTATATAAAAAATAGAAATACTCTCGAAGTCATGGAACCAATATCATTTCTCTAATTTAATACAAATATTGTACCCCGTATCATTTAAGCCGTATAAAACTAAACATTCGTATGAGTGAGTATTAGTATAAGAGTAGTATAATAAATACCCTCCACTCCCACGGTCACTCATTCATTCTGTCATTCACATAGTAAAGGTGAGAAAATTGAAAATGGGGAGAAAAGAGAAGTACGGAGATATGATTGGTGTGACTTTTTTACTCCAAAAAATCTTATGAACTCTCTAAAATAAAATACATGTATAACTCAAAATTTACTCGAATGGACACCATTAATAACACGACTTTCCCTCTCCTACTGCATCTGGTAATCTAAAGTAAAAGAAACATCGAAATCCTATTACCATCTTTAGCAAGTTTACGAGAAGGAGAAGACAAGGCAGTGAAGAAAGAGCAAGGTGGTGGGGATGCTAATTTGTCGGATTTACCGGAGGAAATTTTAAGATTGATAGAATCTCCCTAGTTTACAGGGGATCGATTAGCCTTACATGTTATACTCCAGGCCACAAAAATTGACCCATAATCCTCATACTACTACCTATCGTGGATGGATACTCTTCCTGTCCAAAATTAATCCTCTTCTGCTGCTTAATATAAGGCTTTTGATTTGTTTTAGGTTTTAATTAATATGCATTTTAAAATATTTTTGTTAATTAAAAAATGCGTACTAGGTAAAATTTAAGAAAAATCAAAATGTTTTATATTAAGGACTGGAGGGAGTACAACAACGGGGGATGACCAAACTCAAATATTTCATTTTGCCTACAATACCTTGCACGGCATTGACATCCCAGAGCTTAAGCTTGCCAAAATTCATGGATCCAAGTTTGGCTGGTTATTAATGTTCATGGCAAAAAATCGTGTGTTTTATTCGTGGCGTTTTTCTTCGACTTGGATCCGACCATAACTTCTTGCTGAATTTGAATTCAGATGCAATGTGTTGTTTTCAGTTGACAATATCTTGAAGCAAACATCCTGCATTGAGTCTCGTTATTGCATTGCTTATTGTGTTTAACAGTTCCTTATTCCAAAGAAAATAATTTACAATGTGAATTATTTTTTAATAAAATATTTTTGAAGGAGAGTGGAACTGAATTGCTTTGTGATTTCTACACAATGGCGGATTATTAATACATTAAAGCCTTTATAATCTCCGCGAAAAAGATGGATGGAAGCTGTATTACGCCGGCAAATAATAACAAGCACCTAGGTATACTTTGCAATGTGTAACTAGGAGGTGTATGTATTACAAAATTGGTAAAAGGGAGTGGAATTTTTAGTCTACGAATCATGATATCACAAGCGCATTTAAACCTCCAGATTTTATCCCCTTTTTTAGCACGCACATTTAAACCTCCAGATTTTATCCCTTTATTTTTAGCGCATATTTTATTTCAAACTTTTTTTTTTTTTGCCTATCCTATTAAAGAAATTTTTATAACGATGAATTTTATTTTGATATACTTCATCATCGAGACTTATGAATCTGGAGAATCATTAGGAGCAAAAAATTTCAACTGGTTAACAATGGAATTCGGGGAATTAAGCGTCAAATTTGAAAGTTTTTAATGGATAACAATATTTGTTTGAATGAATAATGGTATAATTATCGATGAATAATGATAATATTGTGGATGAATAATGGTGTTCTTATAGTGACAAAGTTATAGTTGAATAACTTTAAATTTTGAAATGAATAAAGATATTTACAAAGATGAATAGCGAAGCAAATCTTGATGAATAATGATCACATCTTTGATGAATAACAATTCTAAAATGAAGAATATATATAGTTTTGTCAGATGAATAATTGTAACTTAATGAATGAATAAAATATCGTTAGTGAATGAATATTGCGCAACAGAATGAATAACTTTAATCAAGAAAACTAACAAGAGTATATTTTACAATGAGTTAATGTTAGCAACTAAGCTAATAAACTTCTAATGATGTATTATATTAAACCACAATTGAACAAAAAAAAAACTACTCATTGTTTTTAACATATAAAGTTTTGAAGGATTCGTCGGTGCTCGATACATTTATGTTGATTATTTTAGAGAAATCGACAGGATTGGTCCTCAAAGTTTGGGAGGTAGTTCAGGTGAGTCACCTATATTTTTTTTTCAACAAAATTAGTCCCTAAAAAGTGTCATCTCACCAATTTCAGTATTTTTAACAAAATTTGGACAAAATTAATGGTTGTTCTACCCTTTCCGTCAATAGTCAATTATTTTATTATTTTTCTCATAACTGTGGGCCGCACGGGTCTTTGACCCCAAAAAAATTAAAAGGGAAACAAAAAAAGAAGAAGAAGAAAACAGGGCAAGTTCAATTAGCAGAAAACGATCCAAGCTATGTTCATTCCAAGATGGGATTTTGAAGATAAAGAAATAGTGACAACCTTTGACAAATTACTTGAGCCATTTCCCTCTCCTCTTTCTGTATTTGTGGAATTTTGGAGAGTGTTATTGGGAATAAAACAAAAATAAAAAATAAAAAGAATTGTTGGGATTCTTCCCCGTAAAACGGCTCTGCCCGTAAAACTAACCAAAGAAGAGTAGAGCAACATCATCATAAACAAAATTCTGACCAAAGTATCAATCTAGAATTAACAAAAAACAGAGGCTTTTCCTACATAAAAAATTCAATTTCTACAGTAGTAAAACCAATAAAAAGAACACCAGAGCAATTTCGCCAGAGTTTGAGTGTTCATCAGTTTTCTTTAAATCCCCTTTTTTTAACAAATCTGTAATCAATTCATCCAAGGCGATCTTCATTGCCTTAGTTCAAACCACAATAGAAGAAACCCGTTATCCCTAGCAAACAGAACAACCAGAAACCAAACAAAAGATGGGAAGCAGCACCGGCGGCAGCAACGACGTCGAAGCTGGATTCGCCGAATTGCAAGGCGAAGACTTTGAGTACTATATGCAAACCTACTCCATCGTACTGGGCCGAAATTCCAAGAAATCTACTGTCCATGTTGACCTCTCTTCCTTAGGTTGGGGTATGAACATCTCTCGCCACCATGCCCGTATCTTTTACGACTTCCAAACGCCGGCGTTTTTGCCCTTGAAGTTCTGGGAAAGAATGGGTGCTTCAAGGAAGGCGTGCTTCATCTTCACGGTAACCCTCCGATTAAGCTCAATTCGCAAGACCTTCTCCAGATCGGAGACAAGGAATTTAATTTCTTCTTGCCAGTGAGGAGTATTCTTAGTGGCCCAATTGGTCCTAGCCATCACGTTGGTGTTAACATGAATTATCCTCCTGCTGTTGCTGGTGGCTCTTCAGCAATGCCTGTCCCTCATCATGGTCAGCACCATTTTAGATTGCTGGTACGGTGCTTTCATGAACTTCACTTTCTTTTTGAAATTGAAATATTTTAAATGCATGCCTTCTCAATGAGTTGCTTCAGATATTATGTGCGCTCTGAGATCTTGAAGTTTGAATGAGAATTTGATTGTTCGGAAAGGAGGCGGCGGATTCGACACCGGAACAGATTGGGGACGGTGGTTGAAGTTAAACGAAGGAAGAAGAAGGGAATCAGAATTTGATTTTCCTTTTGTTCTTGTTTTTTAATTATAAATTCTGGGTCAAAAATATGTGGGACCCACAGTTAGAAGAAAAATAATAGAATAATTGGCGGTTGACGGAGGGAGTTGAACAACAGTTAATTTTATACAAATTCTGTTAAAAAGATTAAAATTGGTAAGAAGACACTTTTTGGGGACTAATTTTGTTAAAAAAAAAATTAATGGTGACTCAGTTGAGCTAGCCCCAGACTTTGGGGACCAATGCTGGATTTTGCCCATTATTTTATTTCAGCAACTTTGTCAAATATTTGATTCCTAACCGATCGAGTTCATCTTGATGAGCATTTCTTTGCTGCTGATAAAAAAAAATTATAATAAGTTAAATTTCACATTCAATAAAAAAAAATGTGTTAATTATCAATGACAATACTATTGAAGATGAATAATTAATTTGAAAATGATGAATAAACATTAAAATTACATAAATCAAATCCAGTTAATAACAATCGTTTACGGATACATATTACATAATGAATAACAATATCACTGGTGATGAATGACATATCTTTGCATGATGAATACACATATCTATAGAATGAATAACACATGTTCAAAGGATGAATAACATATATTTACAGGATGAATAACACTATTTTACAGGATTAATCACATATTTATAATTGTGTACAATCACATATTACATGATGAACAACAATACTATTAAAATGAATGACACATCTTTAACATAAAAGACGTGATAAATAACAATGCTATTGAAGATAAATAAGAATGTTATTGATGATGAATGACACATCTTCGTAATGAATACAAATCTCTATAGAATGAATACCACAGGAGCAAAGGATGAATTACACAAATTTTCACGATGAACGAGAAATTCTCGTTATAAATGACACATATTGGCATGATGAAAAACATAGTTTTACAAGATTAATGAAACATATTTAGAATCATATACGAGCACGTATTACATGATGAATAACAAAAATCGCTAAGATGAATGACATTTGCGGGATGACTAACACAGGCTCAAAGAATGAATAAAACTAATTACATGATGAATGACAAATATTCTCATGATTACATTAGGTCAATTTTTAAATGAATAATTTAGGGAAAAATTGGCCGATCTACCCAAAGGTTGACATGTTGTCAATTCTACCATATTCTTTTTCGATTAGCCAATATTACCCTAAGCTATCCAACCGTTTGCTGATTTTGTCCAATTGGCCAATTTCCGTTTAAATTAACGAAATTCTGTTAGTTTTAATTATAAAAAATAACCTAATAGTTTTGAAAATTATAAAAACAATCCTAAAATTTGTAAAAATAACCAAACAGTCTTTTTACACTTTTTATTTAATTTCTTCTGTTTTCTATTTATTTTTATTATTTCTCATAACTATAAAAATATATTATATAAGATTAATTCTCACCAAGGATTTTTAACCGGGAGAGTGATTTTATCAACATTTATGCATGGTTTACTAAAGGTGAGAGGGTTGAGTTAGATGGTCAAGTGATTTAAGATGGGAGATAATTATTACTCTGTTCGAGGCCTCAATTCTCACTGGGGCGATCTTTTTTTTTTTGAAGGTGGAGTCCAGTACTAGAGCAGATTTTTTTTATCATTATTAAAAAATAATTTCCTGCTAAAGTTAGATGTTAATATCTCAAAAAAATTATCACGAAATGTTAAACTCTTGCAGTGATAAGAATACATATTTTTTATAAAATATTTTGTACCATTTTTTTTTTACTTTCTGTTTGTACTTGGCCTTTTAGAGAAAATGTATATTTTAGTTTAATTATTTTTTTAATTTTACAATACAATCTAAATTTTGTTAAATTATATTGTAATAATACATTAAATTATACCAATAAAAAAATTTAATCTATGCTAAATGTTTTATTTTTTGTGCAAAATTAGGTTTAGTTAAATAATCTTATTTTTTAGATTGAAAAAAATAGATTAAAAAAATAATATCATTACTGATAAATCATATTATTAAAAAATTAATATGTTTATGTAAATCAACCATGAGTTACGAATATGCATATCCATAAATTTGCACAATAGTGTTTTAAGAATTAATAACTTTTTTTTAAAAAGATTATATAATATATTTTTATAGTTATGAGAAATAGTGAAAAGAAATAGAAAACAGAAAAAATTAAATAAAAAGTGAAGAAAGACTGTTTAGTTATTTTTACAAATTTTTGGAATCATTTTTATAATTTTCAAAACTATTAGGGTATTTTTTATAATTAAAACTAACAGAATTCCGTTAATTTAAACAGAAATTGGCAAATTGGACAAAATCGGCTAACGGTTGGATAGCTTAGGGTAATATTGGCTAACTGAAAAAGAATATGGTAAAATTGACAACATATGTCAACCTTTGGATAGATCGACCAATTTTTCCAATAATTTAGTATCAGATACGAAATGAATAACTACTTCACCAATGATGAATAACTTACTAGGTGTGATGAATAATCTTGTTTTACTTAATAGAAACAGAAGATGTAGTGTATTAGGGTCATAAATTTGTTAGATAAATACTTATATCTTTATTGATGAATAACTATATCCATGTATATGCATAGGTCATTCGAACAACACGTTGAAAAAATAAATAAATGAATAACCACATATTACGGATGAATATGACCAAAATGTACATATTCCATTTATCCATCAGATGAATAACAATTAACAATAAATGAAAAACTATCGCATAACTCAATTATTATAACGAATAACCCTTTGTTATCGATGAATATAGATGGATAAATGTTGAATAATGAACGTATCTGGAAAAGCCTTCCAAAATCAACAACAAATGGATAAACAAAATTAAAAAATTGGTGAGCAATAATTTATACCTGAATGCATAGTCCTTAAATCCACATAATCCAACCAAATAACTCATCAACTGTTGAATAGATTAATATTATTACCTCTTTTTCTCTTCAGTCATCGAGTTGCTCTTATTCGAATCAGAATATACAGTCGTAACCCTCAATATGAATATTTTAGGAAAAATAGCATTGTTACAATTTCATACATGGAAGAAACACGCAAAACCGATGAATAAAATCATGTATTACTTTAATTCTCACGTTCAACGGAGTATATCGCAACTAAACTCACAGAATTGGATGCAAAATCTGGCCCCGTCTTCAAAAATACCGCCGACGAAAGGTTTTGTTGCCAAATCGCTGTAGAGAAGAATATTTAATTTTTTAGATTTTTTTGTTTGAGACGGATTAAATTGAATGGAATAAGAAGATGATATGGTTAATGGTTAAAAATTAGGAGAAAAATATAGTTATGAGAATTTGAAAATAAAAAAAATCCCGTAGAAAGAGAACTTTAATAGGCACAAATGATATTGATGTAAATATTGGTACCTTCCCTATTTTTGGGCGCGTATTTAACAAAGTAGGTACGAGCTATATATTATAATTGAGGCGACGCCCTTTCCTTCAGTTCCAATATAACAATCCAGGTAGTACTATTGAAACTATGCAATCAAACTTTAGTTACACGAGACCCATGCAGATGATTAAAGTAATGAAAAGAATACAATTCCAAAAGAGCTCACAAAATCATTCAAGAGAACCGGAAGTTAACTTTAACGTTTTCAAACAAATTGATTGAAGTCTTACAAACATACCAAACAGAAGAAGTCGCAAACATATGAAGTAAATGAAAAAAACTTCTCTCGCATAGTGCAAAATTATAAAATCATAATTTAGAAAGGAAACCTCTTTCACTATTAATTTTCTTTTGATGATATGAACTAGGAAAGCAAAATAGGAAAGAGAATAATAAACTTTGTATTCTTCCTCTCAATTCAGTCTCAGATGATAATCTGCATAAAGAGGAATTAATCACGGTCACATCAGTAGAAGATCCCTTTTTCTTTGATAAAAAATGGACTAATAATAGTCTTCTTTCTCATACTTTTGTTCTTAAAGATGTGCTTCAAACCAGCTTTCTTTATCTGCAGCAGTACTCAACATCAGAGCTAGAACTTTCCAGCCTTAGAAGCATATCCCATGTTTCTGTAAGACTATAAACAATTTTCGACTACACTCATAAAATTTGATTTATGAGATTGGTATAACCTCAATTTGATAAATAGTCATGAAATTTTATTCAATTTTCATATTAATTAATTTTTTTATTTGGAAGATTAAATCATCTTATTTTTATATTTTAGTTTTCCAATTTGAACTTCTTTTTGGGATGGAATAGTTTTGTTGTAATATAAAAAAATTATTAACTGGAATATTTTGTTACTTATATTTTGTTGGTTTTCCCCTCAAGACACACATTATTCACTATATATATATATATACCGGTTTACAAAATTACAAAATATTACTCCTTCAGTTTTCCGAAAGATATATTGGTATAGACTATTTTTTAGAACAAAAAGAATATTTTATTTAAAAATTATTCGTAAGATATTTTAAATTTTGACTTAAAAACCTTCTAAATCACGTTATAACGTCCATACATGTTAAATGTTTTGATGCATGGCCAGCTCCAAAACGGAATTCTTTTTGAGTATGAAAGGCATAAATAATTAGTTATTTTAGGAAATAAACCTCTGATTAGACTAGTGCTACGTTGAATAAAGAGCTTGGGGTGCTTTTAATTAATGCTCCATCTGTCCTAAAATTATTATTCAGTTTGAGATTTCAATTTTAGTACAATTTAAATTAAAAATGAAAACTTAAACTAGCCAATAATTATGAGACGGAGGAGTAGTATTTCTGATTAACATTGAGGTTTTATGGTAAATTTGCTCCTTTTTTTCTTTTGTTTTTTCCCCCTCGACCCCAACCTGTCTCTTCCCGCGAAAATCCACGAAGTACCACACATTGCGGTTCCCGGAGTCAAAAGATCTCGTATCAATTCGGGTATAACAAAGATAGAGAGTTAAAAATTAAGAGAGCAATTTCATTTTTTTTTTTCTGTTTAAACTTTAAACACGAAGTTGTTGCTTCTTAAATATTCTACCTTTTCAACATGGCCTGGAAAACGTTTTTACCAGATGAAGAAGACGAGGCAGTGAAGAAAGAGCGCGGCGGCAATTCTAATTATTCCGATTTACCGGAGGAGATTTTAAGACTGATAGAATCCTCTCTGTTTATCGGGAACCGATTAGCCTTCAACGCTATATGCCATTGCCAGGCCAACGCTATAGCCTTCAACGTTTTTTTTAATTAGCAAGATTAAGTCATCTATTTTTTATATTTTAATTTTTGGAATTAAACTATTTTTATGGGACGGAGGTAATGTGTATGTATATTCTTTCTCGTGGAGAAAAACAGAAAAAGAAAAAATAAAAGAGGAAATCTATCCAAATATAACTGTGAATGATAAAGACAGGTAATTACTATTTTGTAGGATATTTTTTCCTGTAACATTATGAATAGAATCCAATGCCATATCACACAATTTTACTTCTCCTACAGCATTAGGTAATCTAGAGTAAAAGAAAGACCAAAATCCCAAGGGAATGGGGATTTGGGTTCTCTGGTTATTGTTATATATATTGGCCTTTCGTGTCAAAAGAACCACCGATTTAACAAAGAGAAAAAGTAAAGCAATACCTTCATTCTTCTGATACAAATTGTTTGCTTCCAGCTTTCTTTGTTGATCCATCAATCAATACAACAATAATATTACACCTTCCTGGGATTTTGATCCATCAACTATGGCATGGAAAACTTTTTTACCAACGTCACCAAGTTTTGGAGATGATGACGACAAGGCAGGCAGTGAAGAAAGAGTAAGGTGCCGGTGGCGGCGGCGATGGCGATGGCGATGGCGGTGCTAATTTCTCGGACTTACCTGAGGACATATTAAGATTGATAGAATCTTGCCTGTTTATAGGGGATCGATTAGCCTTCAATGCTATATGCCAAGCCACAAAATCGATCCAGAATCGTCCTACTACTTATCGTGCATACTCTTCCTGTCCAAAATTAATATTGCATGATGACCAAACTCAAATATTCCATTTTGCCTACAACTTCTTGGACGACATTGACATCCCAGAGCTTAAGCATACCAGAATAGTTGGATCCAAGTTCGGCTGGTTATTGATGTCCGTGGATAAGACAGAAAGTCTGTTACTCTTCAACCCTTTTACAAATCAAAAGATCCATATTCCAGATGCTTGGGTGCCATCTCACAATATCATGGCATTAACCTGTACCTCTTCACCGACAAGTTCGGATTGTTCTGTATTTCTAATTTGTTGTTTTCAAGGTCTTATGGTATTTGGTTGCGCCCAGAATGGGAGCGGGGTTTGGGTTTGGAGGTTTTGTATCTCAGGGAAGCTGATTAATTTTCCAATTTCCAACTGTGCCATTCTTTCCCACAATGATGAGTACCTCTACTACTGCTTGGATGTGAAGGGCCGTGTAGCTATTTTTCATACAGGACGCTTTAAGTGGTACTTTAAGAAATCCCGGCGAGTTGGATGGGCAGATGTGCCGTCAAAACTGGTGAATCGGAGCTATTTGGCTGCAGGGGATGATGGAAAAGAGGCTTATGCTGTGATTGTTAGCCATAACGCTACACAAGTGAGAGTTTACAAGCTAAACCCTTCTGAAGCTACGTGGATTCGAGTTGAAAATCTTAGAGACAAGATGCTGTTTGTCAGTGGAACTACATCCTTTGTGGCAAGGGCTACGGAAAAGCGGATGGGTAACAAAATCTACTTTCCCAAGTTTCATGGCAAAAATGGTGTGTTTTATTCTTTGACTACCAAAAAATATCACTCATATGATGGTCAATTCCCAACTGAAGACCCTTCTGGATTGATCGATGTGGCGTCTTCTTCAACTTGGATCCAACAATCCTTGTATTAGCTTTTCGCTGGATAACAGATGAGATGCAATTTAATTTGGTGCTTATAATATTAGTATAGTTAGCGGTTGACATTATTGTGTATTAGGTTTTCTTTTTGAGATCAGAAGCAACTTCTTGTAGGCAAACATCCTGCATTGTTTTTTGAGTCTCCTTCTCAATTTTGGACATTTCTGGACAATGGATGGGGTTGTGGGTTTATAAACAGTTGCTATGCATTAAAACCTTCATAATCTTCGCGAAAAAAGATTGGATAATGTGTTTCTTTTCTCCCATTTTAATAGTAATAATACAGTCTGCTAAATTTAGTTAGTAGTAGTATTATTCTACTATCAGACTCATGATCTATGTTACCCGGACTCTTCTATTTGAGGAGAACACCCGTGTCGTGTCGTGTCGAAACTGGTATGAGTATGAGTATGGGGTGTGGCATTTTAGCTTAAAATGTCCAAAATTTCTGAAATATTGACGAGTCGGACACTCAAGACGCCCGCATCCGATATGACACCCGTATCCGAGTCCAGGTAACATAGCTCATGGTACACGAGAGCCACGCGTGTGATTAATCAAGAATGCCGGCAAAAGGCGCTGACAAAATCATTAATGAAAAGTTAACTTTTAACACAATTCAAATTCCTAGAATCAACTTTTACAAACAGACCTGTCTGATACAGGAAGTCACACAAGTATGAAGACAATGAATCACCTTTTCTGGCATGTGCAGGATTAGAAACCAATAAGTTAGAAAGAAAAACTCTTTTATTTGAACTCTTTTTTTTTTTTTTAAGACAGTAAGACAAAATGTAAGAAGGGAATGATGAACTTTAAGGTGTTCTTCCTCTCTCAGTTCAGTCTCAGATGCGAAGCTGCATACAGAGGATTAATCACAGAAGTAGAAGATCCTTTTTTCTTCGAAAACAAGTCCCCAACGAGTGGAATAATGGGCTTCTTCTTCACCCTTTTCTCCTTATTGTTCACCTTGAAGTTTGCTTCAAACCAGCCGTCTTTATCTGCAGCAGTATTCAACATCTGAGCCAGAGTTGGTGAACTTTCCAGCCTTACAATCATATCCCTGCGCCGATCGTCTTCAGAAATTCCATGATCGCCTTGTTGTTTATTATGGCCTAATCCCCTGTTTCTGTTCTCAGGGACAGCTGATATTCTTGGAGTCATGGCTGCCTTTCCTGCTGCTGCAGCTTCTGCCTGGGCTAATTTTGACATGTTTTTATGAAGCTCAGCATTCAAAGAAGCCAATGCCACCTCTGTCTCTGACTCTCTGTCCTTAAGTTTCTTCAGCTCGAGCTTAGTTTCCTCCAATTCGGTTTCCAGCTTCCTGAGAGTTTGAGCAAGATTAGAATTATCATTGCTGCTGCTGTCAATGGACCTCCACGACACGATTTCTTGAGAGTTTTGCGGGCTTGGAGACGGGGTGTAGAAGCATACTGGAGTCTCTGGCTTGGGGAATGAAAATGTCTTTGGAGCATATATCTCCCCTGCCAAGAATCTCTCTCCAAATATCGCCACGGCTTCTTTGACAGAGCGAAAAGGCCGCGATGTGTCGACGTTGGAGCGATAATTCGATGTCATTTCTGTAGGAGTCTGAGCATCATGATGATCAAGATGACTAGTTTGGATTTCCATGGTGTAATAGTCAAAAAAGGAGAAAATGATGAATGTGGTGAAAATGGAATGAGACAATATTTGATGATGGGTTTGGTTTGAAGCTTCCTTAACTTTTACTTCAAAGGATCAGAAGAGATATTGGAAGCAGGAAAGCTGGTAGGGATTGAGAGATACTGTGATTTGAAGGTTAAGCCATACTGAGATTTTGAGGTTGGAGATGGAAGCAGACATTTCAACTAACCTTATTACAACACTGTCATTTAAGGAAATCAACTCATACGGGATTAGTTCTAAATTTCCAATTAGGTTTGAAGTTTATATAGATTAAGGATCAAGAACAGAAGGAAGCATTGCGGAATTTAGCTCCAATAAATTACGCTACTTGTTGGTACCCAACTAGATGATACTTCAAAGTTACATACATGGAGCATGGAGCCTGGTGAATGAATTTTCTATGGATGATAATGGATGGTTACTGTCACATTTTTGTGTCAAAGTTAAGTTGTGCCATATTGTCCCTCTATTATTATTTTTACCAACATCTGATTTTGTAATGATTGATCCTAATGTTGGAACTAAGATTTAATCAATATGATGATTTATATCGTATGAATTTATCGAAAAAAAAAATAAAATTATACTCCTTCCACCACGAAAAGAAAAAAGAGTTCAGAGTTTTGTTTGATATTCGAGAAGCAAGCAACATTCAAGATTGGAAGTGTTTCTGTCCTACCAATTTAAAATTGCCAATACTACATCCATTTGGTCAATGGGCTTAACGAACCAAAAACCACAATATATATAGGAGATTAAGGCAAGTTCCATTCTTGTCTTTTTGCATCGAAGCTCTATAATGAGAGTTATTTCTTTTACACTTTGAATGTAATTTATATCACAATTCTAAAATTTGGAATATACAATTGACCTTATATTCGAAATAGCTTGTTGTATCATTTGAGGCATGTTTATATATATGTAAGTCCACTTATTTTTTACTCATAATTTCTAAAAGTTTTAAAGGCTTAAATTTTAATACTACTCCGTATGTACTTCCAAAATTTCTCTCTTTATTAACAAATTTGATTTCCCTCCAATCTAAAAATTTCTTTCTCCCCAATAAATAAGAAAACTTCTCTCTAAAATCTCTTTCCCCTGCTAAAAATTCGTTGGGCCTGCTTAAAAAGAAAAAGTAGTTAACCCATGCCACTCGCAATATAGAAGCCCATCCTACAAAATTGATCCTATTTGGGCTTACAATCAACCCGAATTCCCGGGCACACCCGCGACTTCTTAGTTCCCCCCCCCCGCTTAAACCTCCGGCTCCGGCAGCACCATCGGAAACGTCTGTCTTTTCCCCCGGCAAACAAACACACACACACACACACATACACACTCACACACTCACACACTCACTCTCTCTTTATTCCCTCATATAACCTTATTATTATGCGTGAGGTGAACCTTTGCTCTTGCGCTTATGGCTCCGAAGAAGAAACAGCAAAAGCAGAAGGCTAATACGGCTTCATCGTCTTCCACGAAGTCAGGTTCAAAAGGTAAACCTGCTAAGCAGACGGTCTCGAAACTTCAGATATCCGCAGAAAATGAGAATCGGCTCCGGCGCCTATTGCTCAACTCTGGTCGGCCAGAACCAACTCCGGCTCCTGGGGAGGCGGACGATTCTCTCTCTAAGGAGAAGAAAGTGAAGAAACTTCGGTCTGTTTACGAGAAACTTTCCTGCGAGGGTTTCACTGATGAACAAATTGAAAGTGCTCTTTCCGCTCTTAAGGTTATCAAAGGATTTCCTGAATGTTCTTCTATCCGCGAAATTGATAATGATCGCTATGTTCGAAGTATTGCATTCTCTTCTATCTAAGAAATTGAGCAAAGATCAAGGAAACTAATCATTGCTTTCATTATACTAAAAACTTTTGGAAGCAAAGATCAATTGCATTGCGTTCGTTGCCTTCACGGGAGCTCTGTTATGAAAACATTTCGCACTGTGAAATCTAATACAGAAAGGGGAGAAAAAAAAAATGATATCAAGAAGATAGGAAACTAGATTATGCATTTTGTTTGTTTCTTTTTAAAGGTTAAAATGGATACATTAGTTGAGTAAGGATGGCAAACAGTGGAATGGATGTTCATATTTTGATTTTATTATTATTATGATTATTTATAGTTGACGATGTACTAGGTTAAACAGGTTGCATGATGAAAGTAATATAACGTAGTTATTGTTTGGGCTCGTGTTTGATACAGAGTTAGAACTCACATTCTAAGTTGTACCATATTATGTCATCTGCTACTTAAACACATAGTAAAAATTTTCATGCCCCAATCATCTTTATTAAGCCGTGTATTCTGTTGTTTTGAAATGATGAAAAGGACACTGCTACCTTTGAGGGTGCTTTAGACTGGCTGTGCTTGAATTTGCCTGGCGATGAGCTTCCATTGAAGTTCTCTGGTGGTATCACATCACATGCAGATGGAGGTACAAGAAGAGTGTGTTTTATACCTGTATTTCTGATATTTTGTGCATTAGAATGATGAGAAATTTTTCCTATGGGACTAACTTTTATCAACTGCTCATATCCATATCAAGGCCATGTTGGTGTTGTATCAACTGCTCGAGAAGATTGGGTTCCCACAGTGGATTCATCCCGAGATGAAAGTAAAGATGACATCCAGAAGTTCTCTGTCAAAGTTAAGGGGCAGAGGGATGAAGAAACTTTAGATTCCTTACAATTGTCTCAAGCAGACTGGATTCGCCAATACATGGAACAGCAGGAAGAGGTTTGTTGACAACCTAACTTTGACTTTGGTTGGCTTATTCAGCGGGATGCAATATTCAAACCTGAGAAAACAGAATTTGGAATCGTAGTTTACCTATGACATGGAGATATCTGCTTCTGTTAGTTGTACTTGGTGGCATTTAAGTTCCTCAAATTCGAAATTCTTAAGAAGATATATAAGCTTTTGCAATTTTTACTTCGATGGTGTTGTATGTGGCTTGCTTTTATTCTGTTGGAGGGCCTTATGGCTACATTATTTCAGGCCCCTTTTCATTGTTTACTAGTGGGTTAACCCCGTAAAATTGGTTTTCTTTCCTATCTTTTAACAAAATTTCATGCTTGCCTGTGCTTTACTCTGAATTTATTTATGGCATGCAAAATTTGCTCAATCATCTCTTTCTCGAAGGTGGATAATTTGGGTTTTGTTCTCATTTGCAGGATGAATCTGACACATGGGAATCTGATAATTCTGAAGAGAAGGTACTCTTAATCTTTTTCGGGCCTATAAGACTGTCTTCGCATATGCGATGAGTGCTTTCCACTAAACAATAACTAAAGCATGTAATAGTGATTCTATAGCATAGACGAGCGATGGAATCTCAGTAGAGGCTTATGTGTTGATAGTTGCATAGTTTATACACTACACTTGCTAAGAATCAATTGGATCGGTAGTAGTTACGCACTTATCTTTTCATGGTGCAGCACTTTACGTTGTAGGGTCCATAGACTTCATAACCAGATTGCTCGCATGTTTACTTTTGGTATCCAGAGACTTGAAAAAGAATTGGTGGGATAGTCTGTGAGTCTAAATTCCACTTTCAGCATTTTTGTGGTTTTAGTATTGGCAAATCAAGCCCATTATTGTGTACATTCCATTTCCCTGCTGCATTCTAGTACTGGTTTTATCTGCATGAGTTACCTCCTCACCAACCTGTACAGAAACGTATTTCATTGCACCAAAGGACCGTTTTTCCTGGTTTATTGATTGTCTTCTTGATTTTATTGTTTTCTGACCAGATAAGTCAGTAAATGCGGGTAAAAGGAATTCTTCAACATGTCATGGCTATTTTAGTTTCATGTGATTTCCTTGGATCACAGGTTCCAGAACCAAGGTCTGATGTTGGTGCCATTATTAAAGATTATCAAACTGCAAGGTTAGAAGCAATCAGTGCCAAGGAGAGAGGGGACAAGCAAGCCCAGAAAACAGCTGGGGAAATTATTCGCAAGATCATGCAAGAAATATCTGCATTAGGTGACTGAATGTAAAATTTTTATTAATTTTATTTTTTTGTCCCTTTTCTACCTCGTGTTGTTTTTGTATTATTTAATTTAATTTCCTGATCAGGATTGTCTGCCGATATCTTGGAGTCTTCCAACATTGTCTCGAAAGATGCATCTCCTGTGTTTATGCCTCCCGAGATTGATGATAATGAGCATCCAACTTTTAGTGTTGAAGAAAGTGATGCAGACTGTGTTCAGAAAGGAGTTCAGGTTGATCAAGACAATGCTTCAGTCAACAATTTCATTGATTCTGTAGCTGTAGAAACTCTTTCAAGTGCAGCTACAGAGGATAAAAATGCTTTTGAGGAGGGTTCGGAAGATGTAGAGCTTGGTGATTTCTTTTTCGAAGATGCCTCAAACTCTGACAGTTTGCCTCCAGACATAGTGGATCTGCAAAAGAAAGAAAGAGCTAGAGAATTGCATAGTAAAAAGAATTTTGATAAATTGGAGGGCATTTGGAAGAAGGTATTATACTCTTTGTATTCCTGTCACAACAATTGTGAAACAAAGTTAGTGGCTGATAATTTCTATAAGATGTTGCTGCTGTTTTTAGTTGTAACTAATACTCCCTCTGTCCCAAAATTATTGTCCTGTTTGAGATTTTTTTTTTAAGTACAATTTGAACTAAAAATGAAAACCCAAACTGGACAATAAGTTTGGGACGGAGGGAGTACTAATTAGTCCACTTTTTCTTAATTTAGGCCTCTGCTTATTTGTTGCTGTCTAATAAGCTATAGATGTTACTTTATTCTCCTGTATTATTTCTTACTTTCATGCCTATTCTCATATCTTAGTCTGTTCATTGTGTAACCCTGTTCACAACTACAGGGGGATCCGCAAAAGATTCCTAAGGCATTCCTTCACCAGCTTTGTCAAAGAGAAGGTTGGGAGGCTCCAAAATACAATAAAGTGCTAGGAACTAGAAATTGTCCCAGTTACGCTGTCAGTATACTGCGCAAACCTAGTGGCAGGGGTAAGAGCAGAAAACCTGGAGGACTAATATCTGTACAACTGCCTTCACAGGAGGAGCTTGCTATTGATACTGAGGTACCATACCCAGCTTTTTATGTTTTGTATTCATTTTGATGTTTGAATTCAGAAACCTGATCATTTCATGACCTTTTGCCGACAGGATGCACAGAACAGGGTTGCAGCATATGCGCTCCATGTTCTCTTCCCAGACCTGCCTGTTTACCTGCCAATTGTGGAACCATATGCTTCTTTTATATTATGCTGGAAGGAAGGTATGAAAGCTCTATTAGCATAGAGGAACCAAGGCTATTGAATTTTTGTTATCGGAGATTGTCATGTTTCTGTGCCCTGTTTGGCGTCCTGCAATTCGGTGGAAATTGTTGTCTGAGGCTTTCCTTCTGCGATAAGAATAATATGGTAGCTTAGCGTTCGCTCTGCTGAAATCTTGTAGGTCAGTTGTCAGAAAACCTGGAAGCTTATATGGAAGAACGGAGAGCAGGATTTGTAGACTCCTTACTAAATGCCAGCGGGCCTAAAATCAATGGCGAAGAAGAGGTTACTAGTGCATCTGTAGATAAAGAGTTTGAAATTCTGGATGTGGAGGAGAGTACTAGTGCTTCTTCTAATCCAAAAAGCTATGGTAAGTTGCGTTTTCCTTCCTGAATAATCGGGTACAAGATTCTTATTTATTAGATTTGGCTAATGAAGGATCATTGAAGGGTCCTCCCTCAGTAGCTGACCTGTGAAGACTGTACTTGCGTAGCGGACTTTCTATCATGCATGAAAATTTCACTGTTGCTTGTAGAGCCAAAATTGAATAATGGACAGTTTTTTCTTTGTTGTTTAGACTAGATACCAGCCAGAAGATACACTCTTCAACTTCTGAATTCTGCTCGTTCCTTAATTTAGTTTTTCTTGTATATCACAGGTATGAATCATAAAAAAGACGCATATAGTTCTTTTCTAAGGAATGAACTGGAAAATAGGAAGAAAATGAGAAAATACCAGGTTGGTGTTTTTCCTTCAATCAGCACGTACAAATATATGATATTCCTACTTAGTATCCTATTACATGTTGAAACTTCTGTTGCATTTCTTAAAGATTTTGGTATCTTTCTTTGTGAATTTTCACCATTTAGTCTGGATACTTTAAAGACTATTCTCTAATGAATGTTTTGATAGTTGGACTTATAAGTACCTTACGGATATGCTTCGGTTGGACCACAAGGTTGCAGATTTTGTTTTTGAGTAGTAAATTTGGATGGCGTGTTCCAGGTCATTGTGTTTACTTATTGAATGTAATATCTTTTTCATCATAATCTGGATCTTGATTTTCTATGAAGATTTTAGGAGAATCTGGAAGAACTATGTCATGAGGATAATGTTGTTCTTTGCACAATTTTACTACTTAATCCTTTTAACCATTGCAAACTGTACTCATATAGTGTTTAAATTATAGCTTTTTGTGAACTTTTGTGGTGATTGAATCTTCAGTCATTAATGGAGATACTCTATGGTTCTCAATAATTTATTTGTTTATTGCCTTTGCCACAGGAAATGTTAAAATCTAGAGCTTCCCTCCCTGTTTCAAAGTTGAAAGGTGAAATCTTACAACTGCTGGAAAAAAATAATGTGTTGGTTGTTTGTGGTGAAACAGGTTCTGGAAAAACAACTCAGGTGAACTTTTAACATACATTATTTCCTATTACCCAATAAAAAATTTCATTGTATTAAGTTCTTTATTCATGCTGCAGTTCCACTGGGAAGCCATTAGTTTTCAATCTTGATTTCATTGGGAATGCTAATTGGTTGTTTATGCAGGTTCCACAGTTTATACTGGACCACATGATTGAAGCTGGACAGGGAGCAAGCTGCAATATTATATGCACGCAGCCACGGAGGATTGCGGTTAGATTATGAGTTTTAACTCCCTCTATTTTTTTTAATAAATTAAATGATGTTGGCATTGTGCATGGATTAGTATAGATTTTTTTCCTAGTCTACACTAGCTGACAAGTCATGTAAGTTCTGGGGAGGATCTATATTAGAATATTTGGCTTTGATGTTTTTTTTTTTTGGATGTTTTTTCTTACTTGTAGCATGCTTTTCTATGTTCTAGCAGCCCCTTCTGTTTTTGTTACTTGATGAAAAGAATATATCGTGCATAGTTTAGCAAGCTTTTGACAAATTAATGAGTTTGGATTCTTGACATAACTTTAAACGCGGGTTTCTAATACTGGTTCTTACTAGATTCTATTTTAGAGTTATGTATGGTGTTGCAGTCACTAGTTACAGTTATGCATACTAGACATTGTTCTTTTAAACCCCATTTGCTTTGAAAAATTTAAGGTGCTTCAGAAGAAGTGGAAGATGGAGAAAAAGAAAAGGGAGCTGAATCTTAGAAGAAGGAACTGCCGTGTTGTTTTCTGGATAGGGATTTCAAAGAGAACCTTGCATGTTTGTGATTGTAGGATATCTTCATGTAAAATGTAGTGAAATTATGGAAGCGTTATTGGATGACTTATACAAAACATCGATTCCTTTTTTTTTTTCCTTTTCCTTTTCCTTATAACACAAATTATGGAAATGTAGTTTTTCAAAGGCCTACTGCTAGTTTATGAATTACTTAAAAGAGACAAAAAAAAATCTATTAGCTTCAAAGTTATCTCAGCATTGTGCTTGTGAGCAAACATCTTGAGAGTAGTACACAGTAACACTGTTATGCCTTATCTTATACTTTAGAATCGGTGCGTCTAGAGACTTACAGTGTCACTCCAGAGTCCAATGTGCAAACAAATTTTGAAAACAGTAAATACCATGTCCAGTTCAAATTTATCTCAATCACTCTTTTTAGCATGTAGCAAGTGTCCACTGTCCGCAAAAGTGACTGATCCCTTGTCCGAGTTGTAGGCACCTCACCTTAGACTGTAACCTTTGGGAACTGGGAAAAGTTGCATGAAATAAGTATCAGCAGTTACATGTACCAAAATCTCCTAGATTTTTCTGTTGCATTTATGGTTATATGTTTTATGTGCATGCAAAGCATTCATTTGGAGTATAATTGGGAAATGGCTGCTTGCGGTAAACTGTAAATTAAATCTTGCATGAATTGATGGTGCTGTTTTGATGCTTAGGCTATTTCAGTTGCTGAAAGAGTTGCTGACGAGCGTTGTGAATCTTCTCCCGGTGCAAAAGATTCTTTGGTTGGTTATCAAGTTCGCCTTGATAGTGCAAGGTGATTGTATTCTTCTTTTTATAGATATTCTCACTTATGCTTTGCAATTCCATCTCATTCCATCACCTTAGTTTTTTTTGGCATAATGGGAGGTGTTACTACTATGTTTTGAGCTTGTTGTGGTAGTTCTTTTCATGGTCTCATATTCATGTTACCGATACCAATTTTTCTGATATTTCTTTTCAGTTATAATAGGTTTTTGGACATGCCTACGGGGCGGTTTTGTTATTGTTATCTATGAATGTTGTGAACGTCATTTGTATGTGTTACATGTGTTGGATGTATCTTGAAAATGTAGAGCTCACAGTTTTCCACTTTATACTGAACCGTAGTGTTGTTCATAATTTCTTTTTTAGGAATGAGAGAACAAAGCTCCTCTTTTGCACCACTGGGATACTTTTGAGGATGGTTTTGGTAGGTATCTCTTCTGATCAATATGTCATAATGTCTATTGGTGTTGGAGACAAGCTTTTGTGACTGATCTCTGAAAATTTTACAAAACTCTTTTTCAGGGTAACAAAGATTTGGATGGCATTAGTCATGTGGTAGTTGATGAAGTGCATGAAAGATCTATTTTGGTGAGTATAATGCATCGGATTCATGGATTTCATGAGCGAGAAGATTTTCACTTTGTTGTTCTTTTGGATATGAGTCCACAGAAAGTAGTTTAAGAAATTGATGCAGCTTTTTGTATTTTTGTGTTTTTGGTTTGATGTTGAAAATGTTGATGATGCGTTATTGCCTTCATGATGCATATTTTGTTCCAGTTTAGGTTAGGTCATTTTTGGTATGGGTTATCTGTAGGAATTGCCTTCATGATGCATATGTTTTTTCGTTTTGGGTAGAAATTATGTTAGTTTGCTTTCGGGAGTAGCAATTTGTTCATTTATCTGTAGTGATAATTGTTCAGCCAAATAAAACAACACATGGCTTCCCAAGATTTTAATTGTTCTCTACATCTTTTTTTATGGCTTCCCAAGATTTACTTATTTCGGTGCCAAAAGTACTTTCTTTTGGTGTGACAAACTGTTCTGAAGATGTTGGGTCTCAAGCCTGATTTTATTGAGAAAGAAAATGAATAGATTTTGGAACATATTTATTGGAGATTAAATGCATTTACAGCAATGAGTTGTCTTTTTTATTAAAATTATTGGGCGGTGTTGTCAAATTTGACTGGCTGATTTTGGGTGACAGGGAGATTTTCTTCTCATTGTACTGAAGAATCTGATCGAGAAGCAATCTGCTCAATCTACAAGAAAATTAAAAATTATTCTCATGTATGGCTACAAACTCCGCTGCAAGTTATTGATATTGCATCGAAGACAACACTTTCCTGATTTTTCTTTGTGTGTCCTTTTTCATTCTTTTCAAGGTCTGCAACAGTTGATTCGCATCTCTTTTCACAATACTTTGGGGCTTGCCCAGTTATTACTGCTGAAGGGCGGACACATCCTGTCACAACTTACTTTCTTGAGGATATTTATGAAGCCACAGATTATCGCCTTGCTTCAGATTCTCCTGCGTACTTAAACTATGAAACAATGCCCAATGAAAAGGTATACAAATATTATATTTGATGCTGTTAAAACTTTAACAACTACTTTTGGGACTTTCTACTGGAAAAATACTGGTAGAAATCGCTTCAAGAATTCAAATACCTGTCCAAAAGATAATATCTCTTAATTTTCTTTTTAACGTGTCAAAAAGCACTTGAACCCTCAGCGAAATTTCTTAATGAGTAATATTCTGCTGTAAAGTGAAAAGAAGAGAATCAACTGAGGTCCTAAGCTCTAGAAATCACTCAATGGCTATAGTAGTTTTGAATGGTTTAGTAGGTTTTTTAATAACATTTAAGCATTTGTTGGAACCATAAATATTTCACCCCTTGGTGCTGACAGAGAATTATTATTATTATTATTTTAAATGCCATCATTTGTATTGTAAATAAATATAATGTCAGCAGGGATGAAGTAGAAGAAGTTCATAAGTGAGCATATAATAAAATGTGCTGTAATAGACTAGGTTCCTTTTAATATATACATGCACCTTTTTTTTTTTTGAAAAAAATAATGTTATAAGATAGGTGTACTGTATGATTAGCTGGCTTTGTCTTGGGCATCAATCATTGTTTTCTTCTGGTTATCATTTTCACCATCAACAAGCCATTTATTGGAGTATTTTTTCCCCCATTCTCTGTCTAATTCACCACTTGCCAGAGCCACTTTTCCATTATTTTACCACTTGGCAGTTTTTGTGCTAGGTGATTTCTATAGTTCCTGTAGCCTGGAGGTGTTTTGGATAGCTCCTGTGGCCCTTTCCTGAGATCTTTACCCATTTGTGTTGTTGTGTGCTAGTGCACAGTTAGGCTTATATTTCATGGAAATGATCATTCAATTTCAGCAGTACCTGAAGTTTCTCTAAAGTATGATTTGATGCTATGAAAATGATATTAGCCTATTAGGGCAACAGTGCACTACAATCATAAGCTAACTCTCCATTCTATAACATGAGGCAGTGAAAGAATTCAAAGGTTAACTAAACTCATGAAAGGGTAAGATGGTGGCTCTTTCTAATGCTCTATCTATGTTTGCCAAACTAGAGATATCTTATCATGTTCACTACCTCAAACTTTCTTTTCCTAAAAGGTTGTAATTAAACCTTCTCTTTTTTGTTGTTATTAGATTCCTTAAACAGCTATAAAAAAATTTAGAATTTCCCTGCCTATCACCCTTAGTTGGTTTTGAAGCCATGATGAGTAGGACTTTATGGACCTGCTAGTTACCTCCATTGTCCCTTTCTTTTTTGGTGTTTTGAGTGTGTATGAATGTTTAGAACTACCAGCTGGAATCAGTAAAATAGCCACTAGAAAGCTATGCCTCAGTTTCTGGGTCACCCTTGAATGTTCATCATTCAGGGTTCCCTCTCGCTAAACCTTGGATAGTAAGGAATTTATGAAATGTAGCTCCAGGATCGACTGTTCTTCTCTCAGGTTTCTTGCTGACTTCAGTTATAAGTTTAAATCCCTTGAAATATTTGTAAAGACATTATTAAAACACTAAAAAATGCAGTTCAAATGTATATTTTTATATAAAGTTGTGGATTGTGACTTTGCTCTTCTTTTGTACCAGAGAAACGCAGTTGGCAACCGTAGAGGCAAGAAAAATCTTGTTTTATCTTCGTGGGGAGATGAATCCTTGTTGTCTGAAGACCTTATCAATCCACATTATGTCCCGAGCAATTATACATCATTCAGTGAACAAACTCGAAAAAATCTGGTAAAAGCTTTTCTATGTGGTTTTCCTTCGTGTTTAAGGTAGGGGTGTTCACGGTCCGGATTGGTCCGGATTGATAGCAATCCGTAACCAAACCGTTCATTACGGTTTGAAAAATTTTCAATCCGTAACCGGACCGGATTGGTGTATAATCCGGACCAATCCAATCCGTTTTTAACGGTTTGGTTTGGGCAGATTGGCGGTTTGGGCTTCTGATTGGACTTTTTCATTTTGGGCAAAAAATTAAACATTTTTTTGTTGTTGGACATTTTTTGGGGGCTTTTCCTGAAATTTTTTGGGCCTTTTTCAGCCTTTTTTTTGGAGGCTTTTCTTGAAAAAAAAAAATAAAAATTAGTCCATGGGGGATTCGAACACACGACCTTCAACAAGGTCTAATGTAGAGGGAACAACAAGAATGCCAATGGGACAACTTCGCACTTTCGATAAAGTCTCTGTCCGACGCTATATATACAAAACCAATCTATTATTATTTTATAATATATATACGGTCCGGTCCGGATTGACAGACGGTTTGACAGTGACAAACCGGAATCTGGACCGGATTGACCGGTTTTCAATTTTTCAATCCGCCGGTTTAAAAATATAATTATAATCCGCCCGTTAATCCGAACCGATGACCGGATTGGCGGGACCGATTTGAGCCAAACCGTGAACACCCCTAGTTTAAGGCGTGAGTGTGTGTTTATTTGGCTGCTTAGTGATGGATATCCATTACCAGAGAAAATTGAATGAAGAGGTAATCGACTATGATCTGCTAGAGGACCTGATCTGTTTCATCGATAAAAGCTACCCAGAGGGGGCTGTACTCATCTTTTTGCCGGTAATAACTTCTCCCGTAGTTCATTAATTATATCTTAACACCTTCTTGTGAAGTTTGTTTGTTACGGGAGCCACGAGCTGATAAATGTACTTTCTCTTTAGCAAACGTTCCATTCACTGAAGCATACTGCATTTATCTTGTTTGAAAACCTCTATAATCTTGGGGCTAACAGTTGTGAAAACTTTTATCCTGTTTGCTGGTTCAAGTTAGATGTCCAATGATGAATGTTCATCAGCCATTAAATCAAGCCATTCTACAATCCTAGATTCAAGTTGTCTATATTAGCCTGTGATTAAGTTCTCCAGAGAATAATTTACTCATGCAGATGGGAAGACTCCCACACAGGGGTGTATTTTTATCTCGGCATAATATTTTGTAGTTACTGGAGGACACAAATTATTAAAGTACATTGATGTAAAGGAATTTATGGCCTCTTTACTGGCCCCAGGTAAAAAAGACGCTAAATTCTTTTTGCCAAACTCCTCAAGTCATAATCCAAAGAGGACAAAACGCAAGACACTATACCATTAAATTCAAAGTAGATGAATGAGGATCCCTATACTTTTGCAGAATTGTCTGGCACTAATGTAAACATTTTAAAGTCTGATAATTGCCCCAAATCACATCTCTTAACAACCATATAATTGTGAAGCAAGCAATAGTAGAACTCACAAGCAGAAAGCCTGGTACTGAAAGAGGATATTGAATAAAACTTAGGCTAGGATGTGCGGATGACCATAGGACTGAAGACTGTAGATAAAAGATGTAGGGATTGCTGTAGTGATAAATTGGTTGAGGAATCTGACAAAGGAATGGGAAGTGCTTACCTAACTAGTCCATACAACTAAAAGTAAACAAAAATCCTAAAATTACGGTATGATGTTGTACAGATAAATCCCAGGACCCTGTGGAGGCGGATGAGCTAGAGGTGGTAACTCTAAGGATAAGTTGCCAATAAGGAATCTAAATCGAACTAATATTTTTTATTCATAGCATCAGTTAAGAATTGCAAAAGTTGGTACTTGCAGATGTCTCGTATCAATTTTCACCGTATTTGCACATGTCTGGTATCAATTTTCACCCGTAAAAGGGCAGTCTGTAGATCAATGTATTTAAACTCAGCCAATTCCTATAGATTATTTACTTTTTTTGCGATATTGTCCACTTGCTAAATTTACAATAATAACTTTGAGAATTATATACATCAGGGAGTTGCTGAAATTGAGATGTTGCTTGATAAGCTATCTGCTTCTCGCCGTTTTGGTGGACCAGCTTCTGAGTGGCTTCTTCCTCTACATTCATCGATATCATCTGAGGATCAAAAAAAAGTTTTCTTGCGGCCGCCTGATAACATTCGTAAGGTGTAGAATTCTTCTCTTTTTATTTAATCACATAACGGTGACAGGAGAAGTGTTACTTTTTGTCCCTTCTGTATTCAACTACTATGCCTACAACATTAACATACCCAATATATTCCCAACTTTGTTGGCCTGTGCGGGATCAAGATGTATGCAGCCTTACCCCTGTATTTCAATACAGAGAGGCTGTTAAGTACGACCTAAGATGCATAGGTGCATTTGATGTATTGATTTCCAGCAACTTCTCTAAAATTAAGAAGTACCGGAATTTAATTGAGCCATTTTGTTCTAATCCGTTATTAGCACAAAGCTAAAACAATTGTCTAATGACTCTTCCAGCTCCATTTTCCGTACTTACTCATCATTAACTAAAAGAGTTATAAGGCTTTTGAGGGATAATGCATGATAAACTTGTTTGTTTATGTAATATCAAAAACTAGTTTATGCCATTTTTTGAGGGCTTGTGTTCAAGTTGCTGTCTCCCCACTCCACTCCAACCAAGCTCTGAAGGTTTTCTTAGGGCTTGGTACCTAGTATATTTATTGTTGAGCAGTATTGGTTCCTTTTTCCTATTTGTCACTAAATGAAAGTGATATGTGTTGCTGTCACTGCAATAGGGTTCATTACCTCCCCCCGCACCACCCCCCATCTGGAATTGTGATTATATTTCCTAACGTTGATAGGTTCATTTCAGGAAATCCTCTTTTTTATCTTTGGGTTTAACGGGGTAAACTTCTATTCTTATATCAATTGCTACTATGTTGATGCTTATCTACATGGCCTAAACTTTCTAATGGAATTCATTATAGTTTCACAAGTAGTTGGTAAAGAGAACTTGGTAGATGAGGTGTCATTGGTTCTGATAGATATATTGAGATCTTACTTCCTGTGGATACTGGGAGACTCTGCTTACGGTTCTGCGTCTTTGAAGACATAATGCTATTCCATGCAGCGAATTTTGAAGTGTTCTTTTAATTGCATTTCATATCTTTAATTGGTATGTGCTAGAATTGACTGTATCTGGAAGTAGCTGTTGTCAACTTTGGTATATGTGTTCCTAAGGCTGTACATCTTGTTGGACTTAAGCAACTTTCTTGTACCTCAAAGGAAAATAGTCTTTCTTATGAGGTCAAACTATTGACTTAAACCTTTTTTACTGTTTCCTTTACAGACCTTGAAACTGTACAAAGATGTAGATTATGCAGTTTGTCCCTGCTGATAAAATTATCAAGCGAAATATGCACCATTTTTGTGTAATATTGACAAGTGTTTCTAACCTGCTTAAATTTAAACATTTCAGGTGATAATTGCTACAAATATTGCGGAGACTAGTATAACAATTGATGATGTTGTATATGTGGTGGACTCAGGGAAGCATAAAGAAAACCGTTATGATCCAAAGAAGGTGCTTATACATCTTATGAACTCATTTGCATTCTGTCTACATTTTTATGTCGAAAAGGGGAGTGTACCTCCTGGTTTCATTTGTCTTCATATCACGGTGTTACGCTCTGGCAAGTTATATTTTCAGTAATTTTTTTTTGAGGAATGGTTTCCAGTGTTATACATGCCAGAATTGACTTGTTAGGTTGGGGAAAAATTTAGCAGCTAGTTTATGCCAAATATTTTTCTTTACAATAATACAAACATTTTCTTTCAATCTCATTTGTTGATCAACCTTTTGCCTGACATTGCTAGAAATTGTCAAGTATGGTTGAAGATTGGGTATCAAAAGCCAATGCAAGACAGCGCCGGGGAAGAGCTGGTCGTGTGAAGCCTGGGATGTGCTTTAGTTTGTATACGAAGCACAGATATGAGAAGCTAATGCGGCCATACCAGGTACACATCATGTCAGCATGTGATTTATGGGGTCTTAATGGTTACATATGTTCTCTTTCGATATATCACATGAATCTTCTATTTGTAAGATACCAGAGATGCTTCGGATGCCATTGGTTGAATTATGCTTGCAGATCAAGTTGCTTTCACTGGGTAGAATAAAGCCCTTTCTCCTTAAGGTAACTTTAAACAATCTAGATTGACAGTTCCGCTGTTTGTCTATGAAGAATAAATAATTGTCATTTTTGTCTTTAATCTTCTTATGCTTTTCTCTAATTACTTGTTTCTGTCAGGCTCTGGAACCACCTAGTGAAGAGACCATTGCATCAGCAATTTCTTTGTTATATGAGGTACGCTTTCCTTCCTGGAATGTGAAGCTGTGCTGGTTGATCTAGAGCTAGCTATATCATTTAAGATTTCTTTGTTTATTCTCACGATTCTGGGTTGTGGTTAAAGTTATTTATCAGCCTTAGTTTGCATAAAAAAGTGAAGTAGTAATGTTTCAGTTGAAGCAAGCAAGTTACAAGATGTTGAAAATTTCTGTTTTGGGGCTTGTAGTTGCATTTTCTCTGTACATCCACGCATTGTCCTTCTGGTGCAGTTATCTTCCTTGCCCTTGGTCTTATTCATGTTAATTGCATTTACCGTAGTGCATTAAGATTGGTATTTAGAGGTGACCCTTAACAAGCATGAGAGGCAAAGAAGTTAGCTTGTTCATGGATGTTATAAAGGAATAACATTTATTGATGTGTAGGAAGACAAAAAGATTTGTTTAATTTTGACATCATTATGTCCCGTTTGTCTCATACCTTGGTAACGAAAGCTCCTGCATTATGCCTCCTCAGCCCCCTCATCCACCTGTATTAATTGCTCCAATTGGGGAATCAAATAATCTTTCTTATTAAGATTTTTGCTGCCATAAGTTTGTTGGTGAAAAGTTTGTACATCTGGGTTTATTCAATTATTTTTTTGCTTTATATGTCTGAGAAATTAGAGAAGAAGCCCCCAGGACATCTACTTATATCTTGGCTACTGAATGCAAACTTCTGACTCTTGATTTCAAACTTTTCTTTTAGGTTGGAGCAATTGAAGGCGAAGAACAATTAACTCCTCTTGGGTATCACTTGGCAAAGCTCCCAGTGGATGTTTTGATTGGCAAGGTCTGCATTGAACATTTCAATATTGTGTTGGATGAGATATCAACACTTTGATGTTGTATTGTGATGTATTTCTAAGTCTTTCTCTGGAACTATGCCCGACTTAATTGATTATGGTAAACTAAATACTAACCCTGTAATTGATGGATAGATTTATATAATGAACATATTTTTCTCCTGGAACTGAAGACTGTGCCAATGGAAATGGATCTTCTCTTAAGAGCAGGACCACAAAACAGATTATCATAGCAAAAATAGTGTTTCTTTTTTCTATAGATATTTTTTGTTTCTCTTGAGATTATAAGCTGGCCTAAAAAGATGGAGTTCTAGTGTTCATTGCACGTCACGCATTAACCACTATTTGTTATTTCTCTTAGCTCCCTGGAGATTATTCGCATACCTATTAGGATTGGAATTTGTAAGAATCTATTGCTAGTTTGCCTTCTGATTCTTACAAGCCCATGCATTATATTGACTTGGGAAGGACCATTTGTTCAAGCTGCACCCCGCTCATGCCGTACTTGATTGCACATGCACCTATAATTTGAATCTCGATGCACTCCATCTTGGGTTGTGGCAATTATTTTGGGGGGTATTTATCTTTTTATGCAAAGTAGGGAAGCTTAAAAACGGAAAACAGAGAAAAAAAGGAGCTGTCCGTTGTACATCTTTACTCGCCTTCTGAAAAATTGACCGTCAATTTGTTAAGGATGAGGCTGGTAATAGAATATAAATTGCTGTTGACCATACATTGTATATATCCTAGGCACTGAACTTGGGCACCTGAATCCACCTATTAGTTGAATTTGGTTTTCTTAGGGAGAGGAAATTTCATCTCTTGAATTCTTCTTGCAGCATCTACACAAAGGTGCTTGTATTTTTTAATTTGTTTTTCCTTATAAGTTTCGTATTGAAGTATCGTTCTTTCATGGTTTGTAGCTCAATTATACTTTAATGGTATGCTAAACAATATCGTGTTTTACCGCAGATGCTGATATATGGCGGAATATTTGGATGTTTGTCCCCAATCCTCTCCATATCTGCATTTTTGAGCTATAAGTCACCATTTGTATACCCAAAAGATGAGGTTCTCTTTTTCCTATATGTTATTATTGCCTTTAGTTCTCGGTGAAGGGGTTTTCACAGTAACATGCTTTTTACGCAGAAGCAAAATATGGAAAGAGCAAGATTGGCATTGTTACAAGATAAGATTGGTGGTGAAAACGCTTCAAGCAATGACAATGGACAATCTGACCACATACTAATGATGGTTGCATATAGAAAATGGGAGAAAATACTTCATGAGGTTAGTTTGTGGATAGCTCAGCAATTATTTTTAATTGCATTTTTCTTTCTGTACTGATAGTTCAAAATGTATTTCATCGCGAATAGTGTTTTTAGCCACCCTGACTAAAGTCCTGTCATGTCATTGTCACTGCAAACCTGGAACGAGGGAAACTTAGCCTGAATAAGCTTTTGTAGACATGGATACCTGTGTTTAGGAAATTTCTGCACTTTTGACTCTATATCATGTAATGGCACCTATACAATCATTAAGTGCTTTTGGAAGATTCAATCTTGGTATGTGTGTGCGTTTTTTTTCCTCTCCATTAAATAATGTATGAACTTGATTTCATTTTTCTGGAGGATTTTATGGAGATTAATGTATTAACAACAGTGTATCAATAAACATGTTTGTTGAGATTTTCGGTTGGCACGCAGATGGTGATTAGTTTAACTAATCCCCACTATGGTTCAGTTCCTGTTTCTTAGCATTTTGTTGAACCATCTTGATCATTAGAGGTTTATGGACCTTCAATACCAGCTTTTTAAGTATGCTTCATTATCTGAATGGCCTTTTGATTTCTCAACTCTGATTAGAAACAAAGATACCTCTTGGATGAGATTGCTGAAGTTTCTGTTTGAGCGAGTATCTCTATCAGATGATAGCTACTGGTATATATTCAATTTGACAATCCTTCTGATGCTCCAAGTTTCTAGGAAGAGTATTACTGCAATTAATTGGAATCCACTTAAAATGGACTCTCAGCTGTTTAGTCCATCTTCTTTCCTCTAATGATTCAAGCATTTTTTCCTTTTCTTTTTTTGCCTCCTAACTGGGAGTGCTATTGCAAGATTCAAACTGTTCCTGATAAATATTTCACTTCAAGACGGACTAAAAATAGCATTGATATCTTTTGCAGGATGGAGGAAAAGCTGCACAAGAATTTTGTCGAGCATATTTTCTGAGCAGTTCTGTAATGTTCATGATAAGGTTTGATTTCTTCTAATCAAATAAGTTTACTCTTTGTAAGGTGCTTGGCATTTGAGTCCCTAATTTCATTGATGGTCATTGCGTGGTTTTGATTTAAATATTGGCTCCGGCAAACAGAAAGTTATTATTTAGAATTTTTTTGTTACTTAATTCGGTGTGAGTTCCTTTTCTAAGCACATTAACTTTGATGCTGGAAAATGCGGTGCTGAATTCTTTCAGATTCCTGTTAGAATTCGCAGTAGAATCCCTGATTGCTGCTCGGATTCTTTCCTTATACTTAATACTGATATTATCTTTTTGTATGCTTCTGCCAGAGATATGAGAATTCAGTTTGCAACATTACTAGGAGACATTGGATTAATCAATATTCCACGGAAATACGAGGTTAATTTCTGTTCGTACAGAGGAGCTACATTTATTTGTTTGCAGTTTCTTTTTCCAGCTTTCTGAATTGGAGTAGCATTTGTACTCTGATTACAAAATTTTGAATAATTCGAGATCACTTTTCCTTTTTCACAATCAGTGAATTCTCTTTTGTCATTGATAACGTTGATAGCTAAAATACCTGTCATTTAAGGGAGCAAATTATGGTTTCATTAGGTGTAGTATCTATCTTTGTTTCACAGGTATATGATATGAGTTTTGGGAATATTTGGCTAAACTAGTATAACTTCAATGCTTTAGAGGGTATTTCAGTAGAATATTTTAGATGGTTAAGATTCCTGGTTTTCACAACATCTGAACTTAAGCAGTATTACCCATAAACCTTGTGTACATAAGATTATTCTAACAGCTTTCTACTTCATTGAGCTCTTCAAATTCTCATACTTCAAACAGATCCAGCAATAACTCTGCAAGTAGTGCCTGTTAGATTGTGAGATTTGTAGTCTACTGAGTTTCCTTGCCCATTACCAATTGCTAACATTGCCTTCAGTCTTTCAGCATGGAGGTTCTGATTTATCTTTTTCATCTAATTGTATCGGGCATGCGTTATGATATGGTAAAGCTAAATTTCTCTTTTCAGATTGAACGTAGAAGGGAACAAAAGTTTGATAATTGGCTTTCAGATGCATCCCAGGTTTTCAATGCGTACGCCAACAGTTGGTCAATAGTGAAGGTAGTAACTCAAGGATTTATGGACATTTTGATTTCTGTTTTGATTGTGATGATGTAGGTAGTAGACTGTAGCTTGTTTATTGTGAGTAAAAAAGATAAATATTATCTGAATGACATATGTTCATCTCCCGTCTCTCAATCTCTCTCGTGTGATTCTGTGGTCAGCAAATGGTGCAACTCTTGCTGCATGTGATGAATTTTCAGCTGGAATTGTAGTTTATTTTTGTACTTTTGCTCTAATTTGTACCTGAGCACGGGAATTTCTGGATTCAGAGTCTAAGTGTGTAGGCTGTTGTTGCTCGTTGACACTAAACAGTACTTGTAGACACTAAACAAACCCTGCGATGATTTGTGGCTGGAAAAAGTTTTTTAGGTTTTACCAGACATCACTGCATCAAGCAGAAATAACCAGTTTAATTCAACTATCAACATATATCCTGGAGATATCTACCTTGCAATTTTCGGGATGTTTGATATGGGTGAGACAGATTGTAATTGTAGAGAAACTTGTAACATTGTAGTTGTCTTTGGTCTGTTAATAAATTCTTTCTTGAAATACACATCTGCTATGATCATTAACTTTTTCAATCCTTTTTTTCTAGGGGGGGCATAGATTTTTTGTGCACTCATTGTCCTTAAACTCATTGATAAGATAAATGATATTTTTGATTTAATGCAGCTAGACTTTTGTGCCTTTCAGCTTCGCCAGATACTTACCTTTGATAGTTTGCACTATGCAGGCAATAGTGTGTGCTGGACTGTACCCTAATGTAGCTACAAGCGAGGAAAGCATTGTTCGATCGGCTCTTGGCCTCCAAAAGAACTCAGCTTCTGCTTCTGATGGTCATAATCTGTGGTATGATGGGAGAAGAGAAGTGCACATACACCCTTCTTCTATCAATTTCAGCGTGAAGAAATTTCAGTACCCATTTCTTGTCTTTCTTGAAAAGGTTCATATTCTCTGTCAATCTCCAAAAGTACACCAATATCTCATGCATTTTAAATTTGTTCGGTGACTTATCAACTTTGTTTGCATTTTTTATCAGCTTGGTTTGTCCTTAGCAAATTGTGCAGCATGTTCCGTTTGTTGCTTAGTAGAGAGTGAATGTATTAGTTTGGATTGCATCCTGTATTCATCTGTGTAATTTAGTTTACTTGTACGTGAAGGCTATGCTTTTGTCTTTTGTCTTAAATGCAATATGTTTAATATATTCTCCTGTGTTCTATTTTCAGGTTGAAACAAATAAGGTGTTCCTGCGGGACACTACTGTAGTCTCTCCCTATTCAATTTTGTTGTTTGGTGGCAAAATAAATGTGCATCATCAGGTAAAGTTCTGCTTCCATCTCTAGACATGACTATGAATACGGTTTCAGTCACATTTACATAATACCTGTTCTGTTGTTTCTAAAGACTGGAAATCATCTATTTTTCACATTGTAGCTATCCAAGTCATTGGAAGTTTCTTCCCAGAACTTTTAGCTTGCATCTGCATGTTCTTGTATGTTCATAACCCATGATGTAATTACATAGACAAGAAAGGAGACTCTCATAATTTCGCATTCTTTGTTAGTCGCATTGTCTTCGTGTTGTTTCAGGAAAATAATGCATTTATAAGATCTTTGCGTACCACATGAGTGCTAGAAAGTTTGATATTGTTGAAGATTAGTGTAGTCTGTTTTGAGTACTTTGTAACTTCAGTAAAATCAATTAATCATTTATTTTGCTTCTGGTTCCTACGTAGGAAATCATCATCCCATGGTTTTACTGACTAGTGTGCTTTTTATGATATTTTGAATCTGAAAAGTATAAGAAAAGAAAACTATATCCCATTCCGAACTGCTGCGTATATTAGATATTCATTAGCCCTTTGTTAATTAACGGTAAAACAAAAGGAAAAAGAAAAAAGGAAACAAAGATCGGGGTTCTCAACCACTCAGCCACCTCTCCGAAAGACAATTTTTTATTTTGTTCCTCCGAATAAAACACGGCCATAGTGGTTTCTGACAGCGGATGGTTACTTATTGATGTTTTGTTTGTAGACTAGATTAGTCAGCATCGATGACTGGTTGAAATTGGCTGCTCCAGCACAAACTGCTGTGCTTTTCAAAGAACTGCGTTCAACTCTGGATTCTATCCTGAAGGGTTTAATTAGCAAGCCACAGGTATGACAAGTTTCTAATTCTCACATTTTGTGTTTTATGCATGGTAAATGGGGGCCCTTCACCCAACTCACTGCTGTCTAGAATAATTAGCCACTCCAACTCGTTTCTTAATCCCCCTTTTGTTTTTCCTTTTCCAAAATCTTCATTATCTAGTTCGATTAGCTGGTGTCTCGGGTTGCTAGAGGTAAGGAGGTCTAGCAGAGTTCTGAGCTTGCGTAAGGTTGTGTTCCGCAGACCTGAAAGAGTAGTATAACGTTTTATAGACTTGAATTTTGTCACTTCCTATTTCCAATTGGTTCTCCAATGTATGAAAATGGGTTTGTTTACGCTAATGGGAAAAAGGCTGCTTCTTCTTGTTGATTGTAGTCGTTACGCTAAGCTTAAATATAAGAAATGGGAGGTAGGTCTATAGGGTAATGGGATGAACCGAAGAACTAGTTTGGGACTTCCATCAAGCCGATTTTCTCGTTAGTACTAGTTCGTGGCATATTTTGCTGCAGATATCATCTGTCTTTTCTGGCACATTTGCCCTCTCACCCCTGTTGAAATGCTTTTCTTTTTCATTCTCAAAATCTTTTACTCCCTCCGTCCCATAATTATTGTCCAGTTTGGATTTTCATTTCTAGTTCAAATTGTACTAAAGTTGAAATCTCAAAGTGGACAATAATTTTGGGACAGAGGGAGTACTTTTTGTTTCCACTTCCATTCACTCACTCCGTTTTCTGTTTCGCAGGCTGTATCTGTCAAGAGTAATGATGTTCTGAGGTCCATCGTTCACTTGCTTCTGGAAGAAGATAAACAGATGCAGTAATTTGTAGAGTTGAACGACAATCCGGCGTTCCCTGTCTTGGTTAGGTCGATGACAACCAAACTTTCTATGATTTTGAACAATCTGGGAATTTTGGGCGTCCAAGTTTTTCAGGAAGAGGAAGACCACATCTGTGAGTTCCTCCCAAAACTCTAAAGGAAGATGCTCAATCCGCTATAACTCCTAAGTTGCCATTTTTTGCTTCACTAATCAACTGAATCATACTGACAGATGATATTACATATTATTGATGATTAGTGAACCACATCCTCAATCATTGAAGGGCCGCCATTTGTAGTTATAAATAGATCTGTTCCTTTTTACTAACTTCTCTTCTTTGAAGCTTTCTTAATGCAAAACCTCAATCACTACTCTACACGAACGCTCAACCGTAAAGGAACAAAATGACTATAAGGATCAAAATGTTGTGGAAAGTAAGGTGAGAATTATATCATTTAGTGGATTATTATTATTGGATGGAGGGACTACTGGATCATCTATTTTGATTGAAAGGTGACGACATGATAGTAGTAGTTTTACAGACAAAGGGAAAAAGGAAAAAAACAAAAGAAAATTTGGAACACTAATTTTCATCCATAAAACCCATAATCAATTGACTGAATCATTTTGTCAAGAAAATCATAGAATTTTTATCTTTTCTTTGGGCTAAATATTATTGTTTTTCCCAGTATTTTAGAAATTCCTTTCAAAATCGTAAAACACTGGTCTCATACTCTCATAGCAGCGCTGACGATCGCGGCAAGTTATTTTGTTTAAAGTTTAAACAAGACATTTAACTTCCATTTTCAACCTTTTATTCATTTTTATGCTCATGCTTTCAAATGTTAATTTTTTTTTTCTTAAACATGCAAAGTATTCTTATCTTTGATTTACTCATGGGATACAGAAAGTAAAAACAAAAAGAAAAAAAAAATTGAAAGGAAAATGTGAAACAAAGAGAATTCCAACTTCTGTAAAAAGATCACAACAGAAGTGAACCAAGAAGTTGATATCTCTGGAGAGAAATGGTCTTTTCTACGACTTCTGCTGTTGACTTTGGGTTTTGGAGGCTTATTAATAACAATGATCCAAATGTTACACATAATAAAAGTTGTGATATCATGATGACCATAAAGTGTAGAGTTTATGGGTCTTATTAGACCAATGATTAAACCGGTTTAGACAACCATCTAATAAAAATAAAATACAATAATAAACTGTAGTTCAGTTCCCTATATGATTTCAATTTTAATTTTAAATTTAATTTAGGAGAAGAAAATAAGAATAATATATAATAATGAAAATCCCAACAGTATCAATCTCAGTACAAACCAAGTTCTTCCTCCCCCCATTGGTGTGTGAATTGGTGTGCCCTTCTTTCAGCACAAAAATCATAACAATCAGTCAATCAGAGAGGGAAGAAGAAAGAGTTAAAGAAAGCCCAAAAATCAGTGTGGAAGTTTAGAGTTGCTGATTCCCATGGCGGCCAAGTCGAAGCGACACTCCCATTCCCCCTTCACCATGATCTCCTCATTCTTCTTCCCCAGAGGCGGCGATTCCCATCTCTGCTTCCTCGCCCTTTTCTCTATCCTCTCCCTTCTCCTCCACCACCTCACCGTCTCCGCTTCCGCCGCCGCCGGCAATCCTTCTCAGCCTCACTTCGAAGGCTTCGATGCCGAAGAAGACGACGACGAACAGCTCTCCTTCGCCAACGATCTCCCTCTTCGTTCTTCCCCTCCTCCCATCACTCTCACCTCCCCTTCCGACCCCACTGAATCTCACCACGGTCCGCCGGAGACTAACGCGGATGTAGATTCCGTTCCCGATTCCGAGGATTCATCTTCTCCCGCCTCCGATGTGAAGAAACCCTCGAGTTCTTTTGAGTTCTGGGACGAGGATGAATTCGAAGGCTTTCCAGTACATGTCCCAGCTTCGGAGGACGCTGAATCGGAGAGCTCAGGTACTCCCGCCGGCTCCGATCCGAAGGTGGAGACGGAACCTGAATCTCGACCTGAGGATTCTGTTGTGCCTCCTAGAACAATTAAGTCCTTCACTGTTGAAATTGTCTGTGGATCGTTCCTAATTGTGTTTATTATTAATTATTTTACCGGGAAGAAGGAGAATGAGAATATAGCTTTGGCTTGGGTGATGAAATTCGCCTCCAAAGACTCCATTTTTGACCGGAATTTTAGTTTGTTAGGCGTCGGGGAGACCGATGATTCACCTCTGTTGCTTAAAGAAGGGCAGAATATGTTCAAGTTTTACGCCAGCGGGCGGAGATTTTGCCAGGGAATGTTGGCTACATTGGAGTTGAAGAGCAGGCATGATTTGATATCCAGGTTGTACAATATGGTGGTGCCCTGTAAGGATGAGATGACTTTCGAGGTGTACATGAACGATGATGGCATGGATCAGGTGGTTTTTGCTGTGGCAAGGAAGAAGCTCGCCAAATCAATGCATAAAGAGGAAAGAGATTTGCAGAGGTTTGCTAGTTTGGTGGCGCCTCCTACTGGAAGGAAGTGGCTGGCTGAGGAGTTGGCTGTTGTCTCTGAATCTAAGGAGGTTGCTGGGGATTTAATTACTGAGATCGCACTTGAGGTACTATAATTGGTTTAAGTTCTTTATGATCTGTTTGAACATAATTCATATTGTTTTTTGGTCTCACAAACCACGCTTTGTATCTGACTTACGTGTTTATCTCTCTGATTTTTGAATATGTACAACATAAGTATCTTTCCTTTACGTGGAACTGGGATTTGGAATGTAAATCTTGATAGGCTCATCGTTAGGATAGTCACTATCTAAGTTAATTTGTGTCTTCTTGAGTATCCAGCGAGCTTTTGTGGTGTTCAGTGACTTTGGCTTTCCGCGTCTTTTGTTGAGTTTGCAATATGTATGATTAGTATTAGATTTTATTTTATTTTTTTCACCTTCGTTCTTCTAAATTCGTTGTTAATGTGATTTAATCTTTGGCTTATTTAATTGAGGGTTTCAGTAATTTAGACACTTGCCTGTGTATTTAGCAGAAACTTGTCTCTTATAGTGGTCGTATCGTTGTACTATTTGGATGAAGTTAAAAGGCATGATAGTATTCTTTTACCTGGTTTGATGGTTAGAAACTATTGTAGAGATAAATTTCCTTATCAAGTAAATGTGATTTTGTATGAATTGCTTAAGTACTTTCTGTAGTTTGTGCTATTCATTCCCTAGAAAGTGAGAAATGGACTTTATGAGTTTAGGATTGGATGGGAACCGGATGATGGCAACAGCTTTACTGAATCATTTACAACAAGATACATTCAGATCAAAATGTAACCAATTACGATATGCCCATGTGTCCTCATATTTTCTTAGACTTTTCTTGTTTATTTGAAAGCTCTGCTCTAATAAGTCTGAACTGGGACTACATCAAAGATGTCTTGATTTGTGTGTAATTAATATTTTGGGGAAATTTTGATTCTTGGTATTGTTGTCAGTTTTATGACACATATTTAAAAATTCTGTATCCCGATCGCCCCCTTATTTTCTTTTATTGGCTTCATCTGCAATTCCGTCATGTGAACCTTTTCTTCTTGCAACAGGTATTTGGTGACAAAACATTTGAAAAGTTCGGGAAGAATTTCATCTCGCTGCATTTCTCAGATCAACATTTGGGTTCGCACAAGAAGATGCTAGTATTCAAGTTTGCTCTGCCTGATGCCAAAAATATGGCTGACATGTCCCGTTTAGTGGCTCTTATCCCGTATTACATTGACTTAATTGGCCGATACAAACTGAGTTCTCATGTAAGTTTGCCTTGAATCACTAGCTCTGGTGCCTGCTGTAATATTATAAAATCACTCTCATAATTAACTGGAACTTGTTCATTTCAGGCTCGCTCTAAAACAGAAGCAGCCCGGCTGAAGGTGGCTCAAGAGATGTACAAGGAACTTCAGAATGCTAGGCAAGAAGCTTTGCAGAAGAAGAAAGCTGATCAGAGGAAGAAATTGGAGGAGGCTGAAGCCAAACTTAGTGCCGAGGCTCTTCGCAAGAAAGAGGCAAAAGAACGTGCCCGTCAGATGAAAAAGGCAATGCCAAAGATGAAGATGAGCAAGGCACATTAGAAGACTTCGTAGTCCCTCCCACATTCCGTGTTGGAAGTTCGAAAAACTTCTGGTTCCACTCAACTTTCAACTTATTTCAGTAACGTGAGTTGCATTGGACCATTGGTAATTATTTGTTCTGTTGAAGGACATGACTTGTGGTGCAACTCCAGGATCCTCTAGTTCAGATTCGATGTACGCTCAAAACTACCACACCAGTTTGGCCTTTGTTGTAGTCTTAGTTATGAGATAGAAGCTGATATAAGTCTCTTTAGTTTGAAACATTTGATTGCACTAAAGAACAGATTTTGCTACTAATCTGAAAGCTTGTTACGTTGAGGTTGGTTAGTTGTTAGTGGCGTTGTGGTCTTTAAGTACAACAGAACGGATACAAGACTAAAGTGATTATAGATCTGATAAAAAAGAGGGGAAAAAAAAGGGAATGATGTTTGCAGATAGAGGAAACGTAACATAGAGTTGGATTTGAACACATGTATACTCAATAGCAAAATTCATCGTGATTTGGCAGCTTACGCCTCCTCACAGGAACCATTCCCATGTCATTTCCATCGTCAAGTAATGCCTCTGCTTCACCAGGGGACAATTCACCATTTTCCGGATAATCCTTTGCATTTCTTGCTTCTTCACTTTTCCATTCAGTATCAGAGATTTTGTTCTCAAACTTGTTCTTATTTATTGGTCCGTTTCCATTAGCAGCCACCAGCCCATTTTCTTTAACACTCACAAATGGAGCATCATCAATTCTTTTTGAAGATTTTTGAGGGCTAATACTTGATGGAACTTGTGTCATCTGCTTCTGCCATTTGCACAACAGCAGTAATTTAGGCAGGAGAAAAGTTTTTAACAGTTGATGTAGGCAATCTTAGTTATGAATTCTTGCTTTGCCTTCAGAAAACAATCAAAGTTGGCGATTTAATGTGCAACCATGCTCTTCTTTTGAGGGAACACGAAAAGGTAATGAACATCATAGCCATCTTGTAGGGAGCAGATTACCTGTTTTTCTCTTTGGCTTAATGGGCTGGAATGCAAAACAAACAAGAATTCTTCAAGAGCTCTAACCCACCTACAAACAATGTCATTTCGGAACTCAGATCATTGTTGGCATCAGATCCCCAGGTCATGAAGAAAAGAGCATCCTGTTCATCAATGGTACGAGCAGAAAACTTACCAGAGACTTTTCGCCATAATCCCTTCAAAATAAGCTAAGTGTCCTCCATGCTTCGTTACTGCCAAAATGATATTTCTATTTTCCCTGCATAAGAAGATAACTGTGTGTTAGGATAGGGATGGTTATTACCAAGAGGTCGAGGGTTCGATTCTCGCTGGGGCCATCCAGTTTATAAATAAAAAAAAAAAAAACCAGATAACTGTGTGTTATAGCTCAGAGTCCGCATGGGTAAGTAGAGGCTGATAAGACATAGATTGCTATAATATCAATTGTGGCTCGAGTAATTTAAGTATTGCATTCAAATTGGCAGAAATATTTCCCACAATTAACTAACAGAGGAATGTGAGCAGTGGAGAAGGGATGGATACAAACCGACACTCATCCCATGGAATTGCTTCCTTAGTACAGATTGGATCATCTGAGGCATTGATGCATAAAAGAGGGACCTTAACATTTTCGAGATAGAGAGCACTGCAGCATCGCCTGTAGTATGTATCAACAGTCTAGAAGAAAAAGAGGAACAAGTTAGGCAGGCATCAGTGCAGAATGATCCCTAACGAACAGTGTGTTTTTAGTGGGAGGTTTGGAAGAAGGTTCTTAGTTCTTACCGCACAATTTGCAACAATACGAGTCGCATAAGTGTCAAAGTCCCGGAGAGTGCGCGACTGCAAGAACATGAACAGAAATTAGATTGTTGAAAGTAGGGAAGATAAAAAATTTACTCTATTTAACATCCTTGAACTTGAAACGTATTCGTGAGGAAGCCAAAAGGACAATATCACTTCATCTAACCCTTGAAATGCCTTCCCAATCTGCAAGACGAGATAAAACCATCTGATGCCTGCAAAAACAAACACGTCTTTTTCTCAAACTTTTGCCAGAATCAAGGTCTGAGTTGACAGCATTTACAAGAGAAAAAGTATAGGGAATAAGATAAAGAAGCCGTGGGGACATACAATTTGGCATAACCTTTTAAGCCAAGTGCTAGAACTTTGCTGTAGAACCTCTGAACAAGCCTGCGGTTAATGAACCTGTCACATAGCTACACAAAATGGAACATATTAGCCCCCGACTCCACAAAGAGAGCTCGATTACTCATTGTGGCTTCAAAGGACAATGGTTATTACAGGCCTATCAAATAATCTGTCCTAAATTGTTGGCCTGTCGCCTTGTTCCCTAGTAAATGGAGAACAAAACTCCACAAGACAAAATGAGAGAAATATATATGAGATGCCTGGAAATGAAAAAGACTTAAACATTTCTGAATCCGGATCCTTTAGAGTGCAGAAATAGATCCGCCACAATGAAACAGAAAGGAGACTCAACAACTCATATAGTTTTCAATACCACTCCATCCACTAAAAAGGAAAAGTCAGCACGAAAAGGTCGAAGGCATATGATTCAAGAAAAATTAAAATGCTGAGAATGTGGTATAAATGGCGACATGTTAGTGTTTACTTTGCAATATACTAACCAAAGGATCCCAAGGACAACAAATTGCAGCAGCACCAATAACTGGAACGTTAGTCCCTTCTTCACCTAGATACTTTACCTGAAAAAATGTCCAAAACAATAGTTGAAGAGACGCCAAAGAGCGTAAAATCAAATTACGCCGCAAAAGTTACTACACTGATGCCACTATAACATAGGCAAAGTTTAGAATAAGATTCTGCTCAGCAAAGAAGATATATATCCGAAGCATACCAACATATTTGCTCCAATGCTAGTTCCAATGGTAAAAAGAGGGGCTTCAGGGTACTGACTGTGAATATAGTCAACAACTTTGCGAATATCATCTGTCCATCCAGCATTATAGAAGCAATCAGACTGCAACGACATCAATTAGGCTTTACTACTAAATTTGGAAAATGCCACAGTATAGAAAAAAGAAAATAAAATCCTAGTCGCAGACTCGCAGGTGAAAAATTGACATCCTTCAGCAACTTGTGCTTATAACAGTCCAATTAACTTCCTATTTTAATGCAGGAAGAGATTTCCCATCGATCGATAAGTAACGAGTAGTTGCGTTCAAATATACTGATGATGGAATGCAAGAGTGAAAGTAGCTGAAATGATACTAAACAAATAGCAGGGGTCAGAGTTTTCTCCACTACAGAAGTAACCTTGCTTCCATCAGTTGTTCTGTGAAAACTCAAAAGCAAATCAATACTCTATTGACATTAAAATGACACAGTTCTCTATTTGTGGACAGCAAGTAGTTGAGTAATTTCTCAATACTCCTCAAAGTTAACTTTAAGGTTCGGAAGAGAACAATGAAATCCAGAATCATTTGGATTTTCACAAACTCGGTGTTTTGGAGATATGGATGTTTCACTATGGCTCGTTACTTATATTCTAATTGAGTGGCAACCTGGTGCATACAAGACCTAACTATTATCTCTGAAGTTTTGCATAATTGGCTGATTTTCTTTGCCTCTGAGACTGTTTGACATAAAAGGTTTCACACATCTAGAAATCATATCCTATACCAAATAATATACCCACAAGCAAAATATTAATCCTTCCACAGAAGCAAGTTTCAAAAGCATCTGTACTTGACCTAAGGCAGTATCCAGTTTTTAGGAACCATAACATGTCATTTCTTCTCGACAGTAAAATTAACAACAAACTGGAAATCCAACTTTCCAACACAGCATCTTGAAAAAAGAAGAAACAGTGACCCATGGCACTCAGTATCTCTGAAATCGACAGATGCATATTTAATCCGGTTAACACTCACAGTAATAGAAACTCCGCCAAGTCCCCGGTGATTAGCCACAACAACATGCCATCCGCGTTTTGCCATCATGGAAACTAAATGCCTCACATACTGTTGGACATGTCAAGTTAAAGAGGAAAAAATCCCACATAAACCAATTCAAAGACAAGACTGTTGGAGGAAAACAAAGATGGCAAAAATTCAAATTGCTAGATGAGTGAAGAAGCTTACAGAAGAATTGGAATCACTAGTCAATCCAGGAATCACTATTACGATAATTTTTTTGGTGTCTCTAGGAATCGCATCATTATCTGGCGCGGCTGGTTTTTCAAATTTACCCAGATAGACAAATGTGAGAACTTTTGTCTTCTCAAAAATGTAGTCATGCTCAATAAAGTACGGTTATGTAATCACTCCAAGAAAGATGAAAGGATGTAGCAAAATTCAACCAAATCACTTTCCAGATACACATGAAGACCCTATTGGACTAAATAATGGAACAAGAAGAACAATGAATGGCTGGTAACTAGTTTCTTACCATCACTGTGCATCAGCCAATCCAAAGCTAATGTCCCGCCATCGTCCAACTTAAATAACTGTCTGTATACAGTAAATCCAAGAAAACATCAAATAAACACCCTGTTAAAAGAAAGTAACAACCCTTGGCTAACAAAGGCCTTCAAAATTTCATTCGCTGTATATTGTAATCAATGATCATCAACTCACCTCCTATATTTCGTTACAGGGGAATTCCCAAAGAATGATAAAAACGCAGTCTGAAAATGTGGACTGCATATCCATGGTGTGGACAAATATCTGTCAAAAGCCAAGAAATGATTCCTTTTCTTAGCACCCAAAAACACTATGAACATATGTTGAATAAAAAAAATCCAATCTTTCATCCTCAAATTACCTGGAATGAAGAAGCTTACACTTGTAGCCAACAACTCGATAGACATGGGAGGAAGGATTGAATGCTAAATGCACTGGTTGACCTCTAAATCCAGTGAACAAATCCTCAAGGAAGTGGATTTCAAAAAAATTGTACAGAATGATCAGAACAACGAAAAATGCGCCCAATAAATAGTGGGAAATCGGTATGAGCATGGCAGCTTGAAGAATCAGCCGGTACGGAGAATCCCACGTTGTTAAGCAATCCATGCCGGCGATGTTTTCCTGATCATTTCCGAACTCTCAAGCTCCAAACTTCTTTCAATACATATACTACTATAATTACATGGAAGAAAAAGTTTATTCAAACAAAAAAAAATGGAAGAAAGAGTCAAATGCCGCCATGTGAATAATGATGGTGGGTCCATGTGAGGAATTGACTAGGATTATTCCCATCTTCATCGTCATTTTCCCACCATGAAGGCCGAAATTAATAGCAATTGAAAGACCCGGGACCTCAATTAAAGTCCGGTAATAACCTTAAATTTCTGTTTTTGTTTTTTTTTTTTCTCTAATGAAGAAATTCAACGTTTAGGCGTTGACAAATGACCAAAACAATGTATTAATTTTTGCTTAATTTTATATGCAGCTCGAAAACGAATTCCTCCATTTTATCAAGATGAAGCTGAAGATAATTACCTGAAAGTGCATAAAGGCAAGATTTTTCACAGCAATCTTTATTTTTGTTTTGCCCCTTTCTGTTTTGGTTTTAGATCCTTCTTGGGTTTGGCATTTAACGGCCGGGAACTGAACTTATTATGGTTGTGGGCCTCCGCGCCGGCAGGCCTAACCACCGCCGGAGCCCGTACTTCCAGGGCCAGATTCGGACATTTATAGATGCAAGAATCAAATGGGTTCGCGACCCTTACCTTGATAAGGCAGTTAAGAATGAGAAAAACCTTAAACCCTTGTTGTCGGCTAAGAATTTGATCCTCTCTCAACCCTCCCAAACCCTACTCCTCTCCGCCATTTCTCCATTGAAACCCAAGCTTAATCTTCCGACTACAGCCATTAAATTCTTCCAAGATTATCCCTTGATTTTCAGAATTTTCCGTCCCCCAATCAAGAAGTCAATGCATTTCTCCCACCCTCATGTTAAGCTCACTCCCAAAGCCCTCTGTCTTCACAATGATGAGAGCCTTATTTTCAATCTCTTGCATTATAAGATGGATGTTGCGGAAAGGCTTGCGAAGCTTTTAATGCTAGCCAGAGCTCAAAGACTCCCTTTTTTTGTGATTGAGAAGTTTCAGTTTGATATGGGTTTACCTCATGATTACAGGTTGAGCATTTTACCTGATTTTCCTGATTACTTTAGTATTTGTGAGATGGGGTTTAAGGATTCAAATGGGCTTGAAGTGTTTGGGTTGGAGTTGGTGAGATGGAGGGAGGAATTGGCTTTATCCTCTTTGGAAAAGATGGTGAAGAATGAGGGTAGAATGAGAAGTAGGATTAGGTTTTCGATGAACCTTCCGAGGGGTTTTGATTTGAGGAAGAAGGTTCTCGAATGGGTGGAGGAGTGGCAGAACTTACCATACATTTCGCCTTATGAAAATGCATTCCATTTGGCTCCTAATAGTGATCAGGCTGAGAAATGGACTGTTGGATTCATTCATGAGTTGCTCTGTTTGATGTTGGCTAAGAAGACAGACAAGGAAAGTTTATTCTGTTTGGGGGATTATTTAGGCTTTGGGATGAGGTTTAAGAAGGCTCTAAGGCATCATCCTGGGATCTTTTATGTGTCCAACAAGATTAGGACACAGACTGTGGTATTGAGAGAGGCTTACAAGAAAAATTTCCTGATTGAAAAACACCCATTGATGAAAATGAGGTACAAGTACATTAGACTTATGAGTACTGTCATGAGAAGGGGTAGACCTATTCGCAATATTGTAATGAAACGGAAGAGACCATCATCTGCTGCAGCTAGAATGCGGAAAATAAAAGAAAACAGCTCTAAATGGAGAGAATAGTAGGCAGGGATGACTTCATTTTGCTGTCAACCATTTTGGCTGAACAGTGACCCGGGGAACCAGTGATGGCATGGTTATAGCGTGATTTTAAATATTTCTGAGAGCATATTTGTCAACAAGAACAATGATGATGGTGATAGCTAAACAACAGTTTTGACAATGATGATCAGGCTGGTTATTCATGTAAAGTGACTTTGGATGACAGTGATATTGGTTTGAACTGGAATTTAGACATTATAACCACGTGATTGCAGCATTTTTCTTGAGTTTTTATGTGGACTGCAACAATAGGGTTGCCTACAGAGTACGGAGTATCAAGTATGCCTTGCCAGCTGCTCAATTCAATTTAATACACTTGGTCGTTTTCCTGAGAAATCCATATGCAACAGTTACATATTAAAAGGTTTGCCTCCCGGACAGTTCTACTTTCCTCAGTTTTAAGATTTTCTACAAACTTTCCATGCCTTGTGCCATAGTTCTCAGCAGATTGCAAGTGATCCTTCTTTATTACTTTCTGTCCCCTAAAAATAGTTTTGTTTCTAAAACCATTTCCAAAATAGTTTAGAAACATGACTATTTTTCTGAATGGAGGGACGATATGGTTACTCTTGCATTGGTTTTGCCTGCAGAATTCTCATTTGGCTTTCTGGTGGGATGATTATTGTAGTTATGATCAGTCCACACTCCGTTGCACTGAGAAGTGAGAACAGACTCAACAGAGTTGTTTTAGGGGAAATTATTCTTATAAGAACTCATGATTTTGTACTAGTGGCACTTGAAGTGAGTCAATATTTCCTGGAACAGAGCATTGAAAAGAATACATGAATATCTAAGAACCAAGAAGTAAGAGAAGCGGAAGCTCGTTATTTCTTAAATTATTTGGTAAATCTTTTGTTGATTCTTAGTTCTTGTAGGGTCTGAATATGGTGATAGATATTTCATGTCTACAAATTTCGTATGGATAATAGCTGTTAAGCTTACACATGAAATCCAAAGCTTTATGTGCATATGCCTACGACCCCCTAAGCTCCTGTGTTTGCTGAGAGCCAAAGACAAGCAAGGGACTTTATCTGGACTTCATCTTGTGGGCTATGACTTGTTGATTAAACCGGGTTAGAATTCCAATTGTTCCTGCAGTTTTTTTTTTTTTTTTGAGTTCTTGAGACTGAGGGACTTGCTTAGTTTATGGGTCTGGTCTATTACTCTGATATTGTTTTTGCATGCCTGAATCGTGTCTATGGAACACGGATGTGACTGCAGCATTCCCGCAGAAACTCCCCCTCACCCCACACCACATATCTGATGAAGTCTTTGCAGGTTGAGTGGCTGCTCAATGTAGCCACTTCTCTCCCCTCCCTTCCATCCTGGACACATGCACAGCTCCTCATATTCAATGTGGTTGGAAAAAAGTCCAAACCAAGCAATCCCAGAGTTGCAGAAATCTCCTCTTTTTGTTTCCTTCACCCTTATGAAAGTTGGTATATTTATATCACTTGGGTGTAATCATTTAACAATCAGCTCTCCTCTGCACGGCCAGTTCATCAATAAGTGAGCATCAATTGTGCAAACTGTATTTTATGATAATCTGGCATGACTGAAACGCTTGGTAATTGTTATTATTGACTATCATGGCCACCTAATCATTTTCATCTTTAGGCAGTGCATTTTGTATTCTCCTGAAATTCATTCTTCAAAATTACTTTTTTCTGATTCTAATTTCATGTTCTTGGTTAATCATTGGAATGTGATCAATTCATCTGTCTCTTTGTCTTCCATCTTCTGAAGCAAGGGACAAAATTTATTTAGTTCCTCCCTTTATTTAAAACAACACTAGTTCAGCAAAGCTGTTAGTGTTAACTTAAGGCTGAGGATCCTCTGACTTGCAATAGGAAACTGAGGCTGGTCATTTCTAACCATTTGACAGTAGCATCTTGCTTGGAGTTTCCAGAACTCCCCAAAATCATTGTTCATTTTTTTTGTAATTAAAAAAGACAATGTAGCATCAATTATACAAATCTGTGTATCTAAAAATGGACAAAGCTTTCTGGTTGATAGTGCAGAATTCCCGCTGGCAATAGAAAATAGGGAACTAATTTCTCTATGGAGTTTTGCCCACAATTCACAACTATCTATTTCCTTTAGCTTTAGGGCTTGGGTTGTAATGCACAACCATCCTACTCCAACAAAGCCCATCTATCATATACTCGTTGAATGAATATGTGCCTTTTATACATTTACTAATACTCGAGCATTCGCCCCCATGCACGGCACACCTTATAAATAATATAGTATACTTTATTTGTTATTGAGTGCATACTTATTTTGTTTATTATTATTTGGTAAAATTTATTATCGATGATTATATGGAAGTTAGAAATAATAAACAACGTACTTGAATTTTAGAGGGTGAAAGAAAAAAACTACTTTTGGTTAGAGTCAATTTCATTTCCTAATTATATTAGACTTGTCGAAGGTGGCTGGATATTTTCGCTATTTGCTAATTACTATTTTTTTTTCAAGCCATTGCTACCGATTGTTGGATTCAAATCCCTAAAGGACATGGATGAAAATGTTTTGATCTTAGTTTCTGTTTCGGTTTTTGCAGACCTTGGTTTTGGTTTTGGAAACATCGATTTTGGTTCTCATTTGTAACAGCCATTCCGGTAAGAAGGCAAGATCTTTTCCAAGCTTCAAAATTTCTATTAAAACTTAAAATCATCGTCATTGTCGCGCCCCACGAACCCTCCTCCTTCGGATTCAGCTTTTGATCGCCAGCTCCAAAGTGTCCTTGAATATGGATACGATGATGATTAGTTGATACTACATTATGAATCTGCAGATAATCAAGCTTGCATGCATGAATTTAATTCCATGATCATGTTTTATACGGCAGGGTTTAATTGAAGTTTCTTTTTTTTTTTTTTAACTGAAAGCGGTTGTATCCAATTTGAGGCTTGCAATTTTAGACATGGAATTTGATTTATTTTATTTTATTTTTTTTGGTGGTGTCTAGTAGTCAGATTTAGTATGTTGATTTTGTGGGCTTTAGTAACCAAGTTTTGTAAAAAGATCAATTAGTTTGTGTTCCAAATAAAAGAAAATTAGCACGTACGAAAATTGAACTTTTCTTTTTGTTTGAATCTTAAACGTTGTATCCATTTCCAACCATGCAGTATTGTTAGCTCTATTTGTTTAATTTTAGTTGTGCCTAAAGTTTGATTATATTTGAGTAGGCATGTCCACGATTCCGGTTCTAACCGAAACCAAACCAAAACCTAACCGGCGGTTATGGTTTCATAACCGAAACCGTAATTGACGGTTTTAAGAACCATAACCGAACCACATGATGAAGGTTTGGTTATGGTTCTAGTGTTTAGGAACGGGAACCGGCTGTTCTGACTGACAGTTCTAACCGGTCGTTCTAACCGTATTAAACTGTTGTTTAATACTAATTTTATTAAAAAAATTAAAAATTATAAATACATGTGTGTGTTTAATTTTTATTAAAAATTAAATTTTATTTGGTGTCTGTAAACAATGATTAATTATTATTTTTAATAAAAAAAAATAAGTTGATCCAAAAGATAAGAAATAGTGCCATTGATATTGATACTACATTATAGATTAACAAGTGTTTCCTAAAAGATTTTTTATACATTTGTAATTTAATTTAATTCTTTATGTTCTATAGGATATTTCATTCAAAAAAAGTGTCTTAATAATTTAAAATTATAAAATTCTTCATAAAATTGCATAAAACAGACACCAAATAAAATTTAAATAGAAATATAAACTTTTGATTTCAAAACTCAACATAAAACTCACATGAAAAACCGTCACATGTTAGACTCGAAACCAAATCATAACCAAACCGAAATTTGCGGTTCCAAAACCAAAACCGGAACCGCAATCTCAAGATTCGGTTTCGGTTCGCATCATCGTGGTTTTAGAACGGCCGGTTTCAGAACCGATACCGCCGATTATGGACCGTGGACATGCCTATATTTGAGCAAGTTAAGCTTTCATGAAAATATGTAGCATTTTATTTATTTTGAATGGTTCCAAATAAATTTTAATTTCCTAATTATTTGAGGTTTCTTGACTAAGGTGTCAATTATGTTTTCCTAATAATTATTCTAAATCCATAATGAGAAGCTTCTGAATGTGCATAGTGTAAGATATCATCCACTGAGAAATGAGTTAGCGAAGTTGCGAACGTGTTTAATTGAAAATATACTCACTTCGTCCTATAATTATTGTCCACTTTGCCCAAAAAATTTTGTCCCAAAATTATTGTCCAATTTGACTTTTTACGGATTAAGTTACACATCTGTCTTTAGTAAAAAATATTATCCATAAAATCTTAGTGGTTAAAAAATTACTTATGTAGGGGTATATCCGGTTGTTTAAGGGAAAATATAATTAAGTTTGACCAAAAATAAAATCTTTCATTTTAGTAAAACTGGACAATAATTATGGGACGGAGGGAGTACAAAAGTTGTGCTGATTTGTGATAACAGGTTGTTGACCAGAACAATGATCCTTTTTGCTTTTATTCATTGCCTTCGTTTTTTTTTTTTTTTTTTTTTTCCTTCATGGCCAAATTCCGATTCTTAAAACTTCCTAAATTTTTTAGCAAACAAAATGCTAACCCATGGGGAATGTAGAAACATATGAATTGCTACTGGGTTTGAATTTTTTTGTTTCAACGATGAAGAAGAAAATTGACAATGAGACGATTTATTTTCTAGAAGCAAACCCAACACAACACTTTGAAGAGGAAATCTAAATTTCGAACTAAGCAACACAAAGATAAACCAAAACTAAAGAAATTTTCAAATTTACAACAATGTAACAGATTTATAAAGTTGACTACCTTCTACTTTTAATAATTTAATTCGGATAATAATATAGATATTATACTCTCTCCGATCCTTAATATAAACATTTTGATTTTTTCCTAATTTTTTCAGACTTTATATGTGCTATCAAGTTCTTAC